AGCTTTATAAGAATTTGTATTCCTATCAAAAAGTTTACAGCATACATTGATTGCAGAGCTTCCAACCCACACACAGAAGAGAAAATAGCACAGTCAGTACAAAAGGGGGACAAAACATTTTTTAGATACATAAATGACAAAAGGAAAGTAAAACAAGGATTAGTTAGATTAAAAGCAAAAGAAGGAATGTATGTAGAAGAGGATAACTTGTGATTGGATAACTCAAGACAAGGTGCTACAGCTGTTGTTGAGATCATTTTACACTCCTGGGCAAAGCGTTCCATGTACCTCACTTTTGGACCGAACGTTTGGGGAGAGCCTTTCAGTGATACACAGACAACGTGTTTCACTTTGGGCTACTACCAATGTAATAAGAGTCAGGCAAACATATTTATAGACAGAAGGCACAGCAAAAGTAACATGACAAGATAATACCAGCTAAACACGATATTGCTTATTCAGCAACCAACAACATGTATTTCTGTAACCAGGGGTTAAAAGGTTATTTCTTTGATGGTCTGCAACCGGTTTTACTTTTAAGCTGACATTTAACAATTGTTATTTCTAATAATATAGTCTTGTCCATTTAAAGTAGTCACACACTTCATTTTTAATCCTTTCATCTGTTAAATAAAAATGAATGTACATAAAGCTCTGGGGCCTGACGGTATTCACCCACGAGTACTTAAGGAGCTAAGTGGGGAAATAAATGAACCTCTGTATTTAATTTTTCAAGATTCTTTTGTTTCAGGTATTGTACCGGTGGATTGGAGGAAGGCACAGGTCTATAATTTTAGGTCTATAATTTCCAGGCAAGGGTTCAAAATCCTTGACTGGAAATTATAGACCTGTGAGCTTAACTTCTGTTCCTATATTTCAAAAAGGTTCAAAATCCTTGCCTAGAAAATATAGACCTGTGAGCTAAACTTCTGTGACTGGGAAAATGATTGAAGGGCTATTACGGGATAATATTCAGGGCTATTACGAGATAATATTCAGGAATTCATCGTTCCTATATTTAAAAAGGGTTCAAAATCCTTTCCTGGAAATTATAGACTTGTGAGCTCAACTTCTGTTCCTATTTTTAAAAAGGGTTCAAAATCCTTGCCTGGAAATTATAGACCTGTGAGCTTAACTTCTGTGATTGGGAAAATGATTGAAGGGCTGTTACGGGATAATATTCAGGAATTGGAATGGTTTTATGAAAGATAGGTCATGTCAAACTAATTGCATTCTACGAAGAAGTAAATAGAAGTATAGATCAGGGTGTTGCAGTGGATGTGATCTACTTGGATTTTGCCAAGGCATTTGATACGGTTCCTCACAATAGGTTAGTCTTCAAACTAAAAGAAATTGGTCTAGATGAATATTCTTGTACTTGGGTAGAACATTGGCTTAAGGATAGATTACAACGAGTTTTCATTAATGGTAAATTTTCAGGCTGGACAAAAGTGGCAAGTGGTGTCCCTTAGGGTTCTGTTTTGGGACCTCTTCTATTTAACATATTTATAAATGATCTTGAAATAGGCATTGAAAGCCACATTTCAGTGTTTGCAGATGACACAAAACTTTGTAAAGTAATAAAATGTGAGCAAGATATTGATTTGCTGCAGAGGGTTTGGATAGATTGGGGGACTGGGCACTAAAATGGCAGGTGAAATATAACGTAGAGAAATGCAAAGTTACGCACTTCGGGGTCAACTTACACCATAGATGGTAGTGAATTAGGGATAACCACAAAAACGAGAAGGATTTGGGAACTATTATAGACAACAAATTAGGCAGCAATATGCAATGTCAATCTGCAGTTGCTAAGGTCAGTAAGGTTTTTTAATGTATAAATAGGGGCATAAATATAATTTTGCCTCTTTATAAATCACTGGTAAGACCACACCTTAAATATGCAGTGCAATTTTGGGCACCTGTTCTAAAGAAGGATATCATGGCACTAGAAAAAGTGCAGAGATGAGCTACAAAATTGATAAAAGGAATGGAACATTTTAGTTACGAAAAAAAGTAAAAAAAAGTAAATTTTTTTTAGTTTGGAAAAACGGTGCCTCGGAGGGCATATGATAACATTATACAAATATATTCGGGGCCAGTACAAACCATTATCTGCAAATCTATTCATAAACAGGGCTATACATATGACACGAGGTCACACATTTAGGCTGGAAGAAAGGAGATTTCATCTAAGGAAAATACGAGGTTTTTTTTACAGTTAGAGCAACGAGGATATAGAATTCTCTGTCTGAAGAGATGTGTAGTGGTTACCCCGATGAGTAGAGGGGTTCCCACCGCTAGAGGGTGTCCTTCTCCCGAGTGTGAGGGGTATTTACAGCATTCCAGCAGGCATCCAAGTAGAGAAGCTCTTACAAGAGCTAGTGTGATAGCTGTATAGCAGTTTCCCCCAATAAGAGACAAGACTCTAGATTGAGGGTAAAATAAGAACTGAAGGTTTAATGGTACAACTGCTCATTTATACAGTTTTTCCCCACAAGGTTACCGCCCGTGTCTGCTGACTGTGAGGTACAGGGTCAAAGTTTACTCAATGATGACGAATAGGGGGCGGATCGAACCGCGCATGCTATGTTTGCCAGGAACTGTTCGCCGGGAACCGTTCGGTGCATCACTCTTAATAAAGAGTTTTTCGTTTTTTGCTCTCTGCGCTCTGCTTTTATATTTATAATTGCAGAGTAGCTTTTTTCACATAAGGATACAAGGTCTTTTTGGGAGGCAGATTGTTTATAATCTGCAACCCAGTAGTCCTATTTTCTCTTTTAATGAGATTGTATTGCACACGTGTAGCACTTAAAAATATATTTCCATTTTAATGGGATCCATGGCACATATCTGGTGGTTGTGCCCTGGTTTATAGTTTAATGAGAGCATGTAGGAGTAACCCATTTAATGTACAGCTTGTAAATACCGACTGGTTGCAAAGGGTATAATAACCACTCACTTAAGTGGCTTACATAGAAATCATAAATCAAAAACTACCCACACTCCCATATATAATGCAAATCAGATTTTATTAAATAATCAAAATTAAAAAATGTTCATAGTTAATCCATATATACCATTTTAGGAACAAATATAAAATAGTTAATATACAAGTTAATATTATATGAATCAATCCTCTGTGATACTTGTCTGCAGGTAGCACGGTCCTCTAGGGTAAACAACAGGCACAGTCCTTTGGTTTGCATATAATTCAGGCAGTTTTATTGTCAAACTCCACCACAGCTACAGCAGCAAATGAAAACAAAATGTAACAAAATCCTATAAACAAAAACCTAGCTCGGTCTGAGCACTAACTGACATCAAGTTCCCTCTCTCTCAAGGGTGTAACCTATAATAAAACAAGAAGTGGTTTCACCAACTCCAGCGTTTTTGACAGCCTGCTGCTTTCAGCCCTTCCAGAGAGAAATAAACATTCTCCCCCTACCTGCCTAGCAGGGAGGGATTTATTCCCACTGCTGCAGCTGATTACCTGCAGCTGAGCAGTGGGCTGGAGACAGTCCAAAGCCTGGTCTGGACCTAGTCTCCCAAGGGAAAACAGTAAATAGCGTAGTGGAGCACTGGCCCACCCTTCTCTCCAAATGCTCCACCCCAGGGGCCCATAACTAAATATGCATTTAAGTCACATACATACATACATTCCCCCTGGGGTTAAAGATCATATGCGTCTCTGAACAATATAGATGAAATATAAACTCCCTCACAGACCACCCCATTCACCTTATCACATATCCCCCTCCCCAGCTCAGACTCATCGGGGCGAGCGGCCTTGGACCATAGACAGTGAACGCGGGAGAGGCCATCTGCGTTACCCTGGGCAGTTCCGACCCTGTGAGCTATAGTAAACTGGTAGGGTTGAAGACTTAGGAACCACCTAGTCACCCTGGCATTTTTTTCCTTGTTCTGCCTCATCCATGTTAAAGGTGCATGGTCCGTGATCAGTGTAAATCGTCTCCCCAGTAAGTAATACCTCAAGGATTCTAAAGCCCACTTTATTGCCAGGCACTCCTTTTCAACAACGGAGTACCGCCGTTCATGGGGATTCATTTTCCTGCTCAGATACATGGCAGGATGTTCCTCTCCTTCATGTACCTGAGAAAGAACCGCGCCAAGGCCCACATCAGACGCATTGGTCTGTACAACAAATGGTTTAGTAAAATCCGGAGCCAACAAAACAGGGTCAGCACACAAGGCTTCTTTCAAGACTTGAAAGGCGTGCTCCGCTTCCGGGGTCCACTTAACCATAACCGGGCCTTTTGCCTTAGTAAGCTCAGTCAATGGGTTGGCAATGGTAGCAAACTCAGGGATGAACCTGCGATAGTAGCCAATTAAGCCTAAGAAAGCCCTGTCCTGCTTTTTAGTTACAGGACGTGGCCAACCAGTGATGGCCGCTACCTTGCTCTCTTGTGGTTTAAGGAGCCCCCGCCCGATTGTGTAACCTAGATATTTTGCTTCCTCTAGCCCTAAAGAACACTTAGCAGGGTTGGCTGTCAAACCAACAGCCCTAATACTATCCACAACTGCCTGTACCTTCATCAAGTTGGTTTCCCAGTCCGGACTGTGAATCACCACATCATCCAGGTAGGCGGCTGCATACTCTCTGTGGGGGTGAAGTATCCTATCCATCATATGCTGAAAAGTGGCTGGGGCACCATGCAACCCAAATGGCAGTACTTTATATTGGAACAACCTATCAGGGATAGAAAACGCAGTTTTTTCTTTTGCTCTCTCTGTCAGGGGAACCTGCCAGTATCCCTTGGTGAGGTCCAGGGTACTCAGATACCTGGCCTTACCTAATCGCTAATTAGCTCATCCACTCGAGGCATCGGGTAGGCATCAAACTTAGAGATATCATTTAACTTACGAAAATCGTTACAGAAACGTATTTCCCCATTTGGTTTGGGCACTAACACTATTGGGTTGTTCCACTCACTCTGTGACACTTCAATCACCCCCAACTCAAGCATCTTTTTTTTTACCTCTGCACTAACTGCTTCACGTCTAGCCTCAGGTATCCTGTAGGGCTTCAGGTTGATCTTCTTCCCAGGTTCAGTTATGATATCGTGCTTGATTACGTGCGTTTTTCCTGGTATTGGGGAAAACACATCCCTATTTTTAGACACAAACTTCCTGTTTTTGATGGGGGGCAAGAGTATCGACAATGTGCACTTCCGAACCCTGCTCACCAGTGGCTTGAGTAGGTCTATCTTTGGTCATGATGAGGACCTCTCGTTCTATCCATGGCTTCAATAAATTTATATGATAGGTCTGTTCTGGCTTCTGTCTGCCTGGCTGTCTTACTTTATAGTTCACCTCACTGACTCGCTCAGTGATTTCATATGGCCCTTGCCAGCTGGCTAAGAATTTGCTTTCAACCGTGGGAATGAGAACTAGAACCCTATCACCTGGTTTGAATACCCGTAGCCTTGCATTCCGGTTGTAGCTTGTTTGTTGGGCTCTCTGGGCTTTCTCCATGTTTTCCTTAACTATGGGAATTACCGCTTCGATACGCTCTTGCATTTGAGCTACATGCTCTATAAGACTATGATGGGGGTATGCTCTTGTTCCCATGTTTCCTTGGCAATATCCAGTATGCCTCTTTGATGCCTACCATACATTAACTCGAAAGGTGAAAACCCTGTGGAAGCTTGAGGGACTTTTCTAATAGAAAACATCAGGTAGGGTATGAGATAATCCCAGTTTTTCCCGTCCTTGTCTATCACCTTCCGCAGCATCGCTTTTAAAATTTTATTAAACCTCTCCACCAGTCCGTCAGTTTGTGGATGGTATACTGAGGTTTTCAGTTGCTTGATTCTGAGCAATGATTTTTGACATAAAAGGGGTTCCCTGATCTGTGAGAATTTCCTTTGGTATACCCATCCTGCTAAACATAATCAGTAACTCCCTTGCAGAACGCTTAGAGGTGGCATTCCGTAGAGGTACTGCCTCTGGATACCGTGTTGCATAATCAACAACAACTAAAATGTACTGATGTCCTCTAGCGGACTTAGGTAACGGCCCGATCAGGTCCATTGCTATTCTTTCAAATGGGACCTCTATGATGGGAAGGGGTACCAACAAACTATGAAAGCCCTTATGCGGAGCTTTCAGTTGGCATTCTGGGCAGGATTTGCAAAACCTTACTATTGCCGAAATTACACCTGGCCAATAGAATCGGGTCAGGATTCGGTCTCTCATCTTTTCAAAACCGAGGTGCCCACCTAACACATGGCTATGGGCTAGCTTTATAACAGTGTTTCGGTGAGACTGGGGAACTAACAACTGTTCTACCTCCTCTTCCCCTTTCTTCTCTACTCGATACAGTAGATTATGTTTCACCATGAAATAAGGAAAGCTTAAGTGCTTGTCGGGGTCCACCCTTGTACCCTCCACTACTTGCACACTCTCTCTTGCTGCTGTCAAGGACATATCTTCCCATTGGGCTGCGCGGAAGTTACCAGGGGGGACTCTGAGATCCTGAAACTCCACTTGTTCTATCGGGTCTTCAGTATGGGAAGGTTCTACCTCATTACCCAGGCACACCACGGGTGTCTCTTGCTTGGTACCCAATTCACCATCTATCTCAGAGAAAGTAAAAATATTATCTATACCCTCTACCCCTGGTGGTTCCCCAGAGCGCATTTTCGGATGAGTAGAGCATTTATCCCATAGGTGGTAGAAATGGGGGAAGTCCCGCCCTAATACCCCATCATATGGTAACAGGGGCACTACCCCTACAGGGCATTTAACCTTTCCTACCTCGGTGCCAAACTCTACCTCTGCCGTGGGGTATGTGTGGGTGTCACCATGTATACACACTATATCAATCACTTGTCTGGTATCCAATTTCCCTGGCTGGAGCAGGACACTTTTTATCAAGGTAACCTCACTCCCTGAATCAATCAGCGCTTGTACATTCTTCCCTTCCACCCTCACCATTTTCACATGCGTTGCATCAACAGCACTAGTCACCACACACATCTTTGAACAAGTCAATACAGTCCTATGCAGAGCCCTTGTTCCTATGTCACACTGCATGGGCTCTTCACCCTCTGGACAGTGGCGTGCAAAATGTCCAGACTCATGGCATTTGAAGCACCGAAGTTGTTCCTCAGCTTGGTCTTGTAGCCGTAATGGAGCTAGTGGGGACCTTCTACCACCATGGTCATATAATCCAAAGTTTTGTCCTTTGTTTCCCACTTTCCCCCTTATCTGGTTGCTAGCCGATCTGGAGTTAGGCTGATGAACAATACTGTGGGGTTCCTTGGCGACCAAATACCTCTCAATCAGGCACATCATTGCTTCCGGATCCTGAGGGTCCCCTTGGCTGACCCATTGTCGCAGTCCTGTTGGCAGGTGTCTGAGAAAACGGTCCATAACAACCATCTCCACTATCTTGGTAGCAGGGTTGTGCTCTGGTTCCAACCATTTCTTGGCGAGCCTTCGCAATCCATACATCTGGGCTCTGGTGGGTTTACTCAGATCATAAATCCAGTTGTGAAACCCTAATGGCAGGTGTTATGCCTATACGCTTTAGAATTTCTGCTTTGAGATGCTTATAATCTTGGGCCTGGTCCGAAGACAAATCTTCATAGGCTTTCTGGCACTCCCCACTCAGGCATGAAGCTAGAAGTCCCACCCACTGGTCTGATGGCCACTTTTCCCGGGCAGCAACCCTCTCGAAAGTGGTGAGGTAAGCCTCAACATCATATGCCTCTGTCATTTTATGCAGGAAGTCAGTTGCTCGGATCCGGGATCCCCTGACCCCAAGGGGGTCCCCTACGCATGGCAATAACACTCTCTGCAAAACCTCAGTAAGGACAGCTCTATCCTCCTGCTGAACGTCCCTTAGCTTCTCAACCTGCGCAGCCAATAAACGGTTTGTGTCTTGCTGTACTGCAGTTGCCTCTATATTGTGATCCTTGTCTGCAGTTAGCACTTTATTGTTGAGCTTCTCCACAAAGACAGCAGCACATGAAAAACAAAAATGTAACAAAACCCTATAAACAAAAACCTAGCTCGGTCTGAGCACTAACTAACATCAAGTTCCCTCTCTCTCAAGGGTTTAAACTATAACAAAACAAGAAGTGGTTTCACCAACCTAGTGTCTTTGTCAGCTCTCAGCACTCCAGTGTTTTAGACAGCCTGCTGCTTCCAGCCCTTCAAGAGAGAAATAAACATTCTCATCTACTTGCCTAGCAGGTAGGGGTTTATTCTCACTGCTGCAGCTGATTACCTGCAGCTGAGCAGTGGGTTGGAGACAGTCCAAAGCCTGTTCTGAACCTAGTCTCCCAAGAGAAAACAATAAACAGTGGAGTGGAGCACTGGCCCACCCTTCTCTCCAAATGCTCCACCCCAGGGGCCCATAACTAAATATGCATTTAACTTACATACATACACACATTCCCCCTGGGGTTAAAGATCATATGCCTCTCTGAACAATGCAGATGAAATATAAACTCCCTCACAGACCACCCCATTCACCTTATATATATATATATATATATATATATATATATATATATACACTCTAACACAAGCATGTCAAACTCAAAGTCAGGCACGGGCCACAGAAACAAGGTTTAAGTTTATGTGAGCTACAACAAAAAAAAACCCTTAAATTTTCATAGAAACGTAGGTCTATTTTAAAAAGTACAGCATAAAAAACCTCCACCATCTCCCTCTACTAAACCACAGCAACCCCCTCTACCACCCTGTGCCAAATCTGATCCTCCCGCTACTTCTTGAAAACCTGTGAAGGTGGAGCACGTCGATGTCACGTGGGGTTGCGAGCCTCCATGCACCTCCAGGTACTCCACTGTCCAGTCGCAGCCAATGCAACACTGACCAACACACAAACACACTCACAGACAGACACACACACTCACTCACAGACACATACTCACTGACAGACACACACATACTGACAGACACACATTCACACACACACATACTCATTGACAGTCATACACACACACACTCACTGACAGACACACACACACACATACTGACAGACACACCTACGCACTGACAGACACACACACGCACTGACAGACACACACACTGTAACTGATCACCTGGCACCCCGACTGGGTACCTCCGTTAATAGATGCTTCCTAGCTGATGCCGAGGACTATAAGCACCGCAAAGGACTCCACAACCACCGCAGACTCCACAACTGCCGTAGCTTAACTGGAATCTCACCGTCTTCCTTCCACCCTGGATCAGCCTCTGACATCCAGGACCGTGGGAGAGAGACCTCTCCACCAGGAGAGCATAACAGGAACTGCTCTTAAAAGAGCTAAGTGATTAGAGCCCAGGGGAGTGTACAAAGTATAGCAATCCCTAGTGTGATTATAGCAGTTCCCCTCCAATCACGAGACAAGACTACGTGTTGAGGGTCAAACAGGAACAGAAAGTTTAATGGCACACACTGGTCTTTTATACAAGTTAAACAGCAAAGGTGACGCCCAGGTGGACCTGGTTGGGCACCGAATACAAAACATACAAGCCAATAAAAACAGAGGTTTACATTCAGACACTCCCATACAGTGTACACAATCCCTCCCCTCTGCCTGTGATACAATTAACGAAGACAATGGACTAACTCAATTAACTTTAAGCAGAAAAAACTTACATTATTACAAAGTCTGGAAAACACCCCAAAACATAACATATCCCCATCTTACATCCCCTGATAGCCCTGATCTGGGTAAACAACGTATCCAAAAATCACCCAGATCAGAGCAGGGGTTCAGGAAATTCCTGTCTCTTTTGGCTGACCACACGTACATTTTCATGCCCAAAACAGTTCCAGAGAATTAGGCTGTGTGGCCGGTCTATTTTCAATGTTAAAAGTGCACTATAGTGGGGTCAGACAATAGCAAGGGCTGATGGGAGATTGAGGAGGGACAAAGCATCCTCTTTAAACTGGTCTGGCAGTGTCCCTGGGACAACGCCCTGCTGGAGAAACAATAGGACAGGAAAAAGGGGGAGGGGAAGAGGCGCATTTTCCCATGGAAGTCACTTTTTAACATGTCTTTTTGCAGGGCCCATAGTCTTTGGGCAAAAGGCTGGCCATTAGTCCTCTCCAAAAACCAGTGGCGAAATTGCTTTCGTCACACACACTGACAGACACACACATTTAAACATTCTTGCACTAACATCATTTAATTTATTGATCCCTACCTTTGGAAGCTGGTTGATCCCTACCTGTCTGGAGATCTCCTTCCTGGTCCTCACTGCTCCCTCGCGCAGTTTAGTGATGCCGGGTGCTGGAATATGACTTCATATTCCGGTGCCCGGCTTCACTACAGACGGCGCGGGTGAGGCAGCAGTGAGGAACAGGAAGGCTGAGCTCCCTTGCTGCCGCCAGGAACCTCTCCTCCCTGACTGGGTAGGTGTTATGGGGGAAAAGTAGGTGCCTACTCTGCTATAACACCAGCATGTACTCGCGGCTCGCCAGGCCGCAAAGATGGTCCTTGTGGGCCACATTCGGCCTGTGGGCCACGAGTTTGACATGCTTGCTCTAACCATAAACTAAATAATCCCAAACACTAAATTAATTCCCATCCTAATTCTAAAGACCTTTTATACAGACTTTTAGTTTCAGTTTGGTTTGATAATTTCTGTATCTATTCAAAACGTCGTAATACGTTTACTTGATTTCTGAATTTCACTTGGCCATTATTCTCCAGTGGGGATGAATCCAAAAGGTGGCATTCACAACAAAGCCCTAAAGGAGATAATTCACCAAATAAAAATAAAAATACATGTACTATATATAATCTTTATTTTGACAGTGTGATGATCAACATGTGTAATATTTACATGGTGCAAGCACTAAACCTGCCTGGTTGAACATGTGGAAGAGCGAGTATTAGTGAGTGTGATTTTTAGTTGCATTTGAAAAAAAGAAGAAATGGGTGTACGCTCCATGCAATTACTAGAGTAGCAGCTGATCACCAAAATGAATGAATGGCATGTACCAAAATTCGGTTGGCAGTCCATTCGGTTATATATTAACCGATACTAGGATTTTTTTCTGAAATTAACAAAAAACTAAATTTTGTTAAAATTTCAATTCGTCCAAATCCAACAAAAGAAACAATAAAAATCTGTGACAAAACAGTGATAAGCCGAGTTAATAATTTATTGGGTAGTAAAGAATGTTTTTTATAATGTCGATGTAAGAAGGAGTGTATGAAATATTCATCTGAAGTACAAAAGTCACAAAATGAGAATATAGTACACAAAATAGTTACACACAGATAACACTGGCACACACACTGATACAGATACACACACTTACACACAGAGGACAATGACACAAACACATTTACACAAAGAGGACACTTAACACATTTACATACATAAGAAAATGACACACTCACTGATTTCATATACACTGAAACACACTCTCCATGAGTTGACACACACTCTTACTGATTTGACACATACTGATTTGACACACTCATTTACTGACAGACACATAAACATTGTCTCACACATACTCACAAATGATTATGTTGTAATTATGTCCATTGTGACGGACCGCCTTGTACCCTGACCCCGGGTGCATCCGCCAACCGATGCACTGGCACTGTTAAAATTCATTTCCTGTTTTACCCTCAACACAGAGCCTCGTCTCATGCGTGTAGGGGAGAGCTATACCTCTTTGGAGTGCTATAATCACTAGATCTTAAGAGCTGTTCTTGCTACGCTCATTGGAGTAGGAGAGGTTTGCCCACTGGAAGCTGAATCCTGGTCTAGGGTCCAGGGTGGGTGGAGGACGGCGAGTTCCCAGCCAAACTGTAATGCTGGACGTGGGGACTACAGTGCTGATGGAGTGCTTGGAGTCCTCGGTGAGCACTAGGAGCATCGATTGGCGGAGGCACCCCATCGGGGTGCCAGGCGGTCCGTCACATCCATCCAATCTCTCTACTTTTGGGTTACATCATAACCTGACTCCCAGCATCAATGCAGGGCATAGGCGTGCGCAGCCTATTGCATTAGGGTGTGCACCCTAAAGCACAAACACACTCCGAGTGTATATGTATGTGTGTATATATATATATATACACACATATATATATACACACACACACACACATATATATAGTTTGAGGGTGTTGTGTGTGTGTGTGTAAGGGTGCTCTTTTTGTGGTATGTGTGTGTGAGGGTGTTTGTGTGTGTGTGTGTTTGTTAGGGTCCTGTTAGTGTGCTGTGTGTGCGAGGGTGCTGTTTCTGTGCTGTGTGTTTAAAAGATTGCTATGTGTTTGAGGGTGCTGTATGTGCGAGGGTGCTGTATGTGTGTGGGTGCTGCATGTGTGTGCTGTGTGTGTGTGGGTGCTGTGTGTATGTGTGTGCTGTATGTGTGTAGGTGCTGTGTGTGTGCTGTATGTGTGTGGGAGATTGTGGAGGGTGGAGGTGGGGGTACATTACTTAATATCCCCCCTCCCTTCTTACCTTATGTAGGGAGGGGGGATTCTTGTTCCTGCTGCTTTCCCTGGTGGTCCAGTGGAGAGTGAACTCTAGCCCCTGTGGGTATAGAGCAGGGGTAGGCAACCTTTTAGCAGCACTGTGCCGATATAGGATTGTGATGTCCCGCAGCATGCCGGTCCTATTTTTTTTAAATTGAAGTGTGTTTGCTGCCGTATTCTGCTTGTGTTATTTATACTGTAATTGCTTTGTATCGTTGTATTTGTGCGTATTTGAGCTATTATATTGCATATGTTCATGAGTAGTTTATGGTATCGTGTATGATACATATGAATGTGGGCTGTGTATGAGGGCTGCTTGTGGAATTGTGTGTGTGGATGGATATGTCACATTGTGTTTGGTAGTGTGTGGGGGCTGTTTGGGGTATTGCATGTGAGAGGCTGCATGTGGGGTTGTGTGCATGTATGCTGCAATGCATAAATTGAGGATTGTCCTTCACCACCTCTTCGTATTAGCAGATATCTGAAGTTTTACTGGGACTCCTGACAGGCCAGAGCATGTTTGGCTCTAGCAGCCTTGAGTGCCCTGCAAAGGCACCTCGAGTGACGTGCATGGCACTAGTGCCGTAGGTTGCCTACCCCTGGTATAGAGTTCACTCTCGCGAGATCTGAGCGTTGACGCAGCAACGCTCCGACCTCACGAGAGGAATCCGGCGGAGCTGCTGGTTGAGCTCCCCGGGTCCTCTCCTTCCTCCCTCCATGCTGCAGTGGGGAGGGAGGCTGAGAGCAGAGCCGGCGCTCGGATAGATCCTGAGATCTCCCCTGCCGGTCTCAATACATAGGCGTGCCGCGGGGATTAGGATGTGCCCAGGCCTATGATGCAGGGCACACGAGAGGGCAAAGATAGATGACATTTACAGCTGCTTCACTGCCTCCACCTCCATTCTCCTCCCAATACTGTATTTGGGCAGAGTAGGCACTCTGCCATAGAACTATTTAGTTAGTATTTTACATTGTGAGATGCAATGTCTATGTTGTTGATTTTTAAAGGGACACTATAGTCACCAAAACAACTTTAGCTCAATGAAGAAGTTTTGGTGTATAGATCATGCCCCTGCAGTCTCACCGCTCAGTTCTATGCAATTTAAGGAGTTAAATCACTTTGATTACGCAGTGCTAGCCAAACCTCCCTGCAAGTAATATGCACAGCCTTCCTAAACACTTCCAGTAAAGTTATATATAATGTTTACACTTCCTTTATTACAAATTATGTTTAATTTAGAATTCTTTTTATCACATTCTCTGTTGAAAGCTTGCTTGACCTTGCAGGAGTCTCCTGGGCGTGTTTAAATTTCAATTTACAGAGCAGGAGATAAAAACTTCTAAATTAAGTTAAAATATGATTGAAAATTTTTTCTATGCAATTTTTTCTATGCAGCCTGTGTCAGTCACAGCCTGTGGAAGTGTTGCTAGAGCTGCATAGTGACCATCTTCTTCTGGGGGGTCCTCATCAGCTGAAGGTTGACATTACTAGATGGCGGTAGCTCTGCAAAGTGTCTATTATTATTATTGGCATTTATATAGCGCCAACAAATTCCATAGCGCTTTACAATATTGTAGGAGAGGGAGATTTAACAGTAAATGAGACAATTACAAAAGATTACAGGAACAATAGGATGAAGAAGACCCTGTTCAAATAAGCTTAAAGTCTACAAGTGTTAGGCAGAAGACGTCCCTACTTTGTCTCATTTTATCGAAATTCCAACAAAGTCAAAATTTGTATTTCATGAAGATTATATCTTTATGAAACACTAATTTTTCTTAGGGTGGGGGGCTGACAGTGCCTTTTTAAGGAGTTAAAGGGAAACTATAGTGCTAGGAACACAAAGCACTATAGCTCCCTATAGTATCCCCCTACCTCCCGTGGTGTTGAATGGGTAAAAAAAAAAAAACTTTATCACTTACCTTATTCCAGCGCTTATGTCCTTTGGCACTGGTTCAGGCTCCTTCTCTGCCGAAATCAATTGTAGGGGGTGGACCTAACGCCAACTGCTATTTCCAGCTGGATGGCTGCTCATTTCCTTAAACTCAACCTGTCCAAAACAGAACTTCTGGTCTTCCCTCCCTCATGTGTTGCTACTCCCTTGTCTTTCTCCTTCCAAGTCAATGGCGCTACCATCCAGTCTACCTCTAAGGCTCGCTGCCTAGGTGTTCTCTTTCACCCCTCATGTCCATTCAATAGCCAAATCCTGCCGCTTCCATGTCAAACACATTGCGCACATCCGACCCTATTTAACACCTGATACGGCAATGGTGCTTGTCCATGCTGCTGTCCTCTCTCGCCTTGACTACTGTAATCCGCCTTTCAGTGGTCTTATGTGTTCCCAACTTGCCCTGTTACAGTCTATAATGAATGCGGCGGCGAGGCTCATCTTCCTTTCCACCCACACCTCCCCCCTTTGTCACTCCCTCCATTGGCTTTCCGTAAGATATAGGGCTTAATTTAAGATCCCGACACTTGCTTACAAGTCTCTACACAATGCTGCTCCCACCTACTTATCCTCACTAATACACAAATATGTCTTGTCTTGGCCCCTAACCTCTGTTCGTACTCCTACCTCAGATGCTCACCTTAAAGACTTCTCTAGGGCTGCACCGTTCCTAAGGAATGCCCTTCCCCTCTCTGCTAGACTCTCACCCAATCTCTGCTCCTTCAAAAAATCTCTGAACACTTACCTTTTTTTCACTCCATAAGACGCACCTGACCATAAGAAGCACCTAGTTTTTAGAGAAGGAAAAAAAAAAGTGTTCCTTACCACCCACTCCCCTCCCCTGCCCCATAGTGTTCTTCCCCCCCTCCCTTGTCCAATAGTGTTCTTCCCCCCCTCCCCTGTCCCATAGTGTTCCTTCTTCCCTCCCCTGTCCATAGTGTTCTCCCCCCCCCTCCCCTGTCCCATAGTGTTCCTTACCACCCACTCCCCTCCCCTGTCCCATAGTGTTCTTTACCACACACTCCCCTCCCCTGTCCCATAGTGTTTTTCCACCCACCCCCGTCCTATGGTGTTCCTTACCACCCCTCTCCTCGTCCCTTAGTGCCCCTCTCCCTCCCATGGTCCCCGGTAAGTCTCCTACCTTTATTGTAGCGTGGCTGAGTGCAGTAGTGCGCACCGCGGTACAGGAGATTCAGTTTCCTGTACCCGGCCGGACTGAAAGGAAGTGCTATCTCAGTGAGCACATCCATTTAGTCCGGCCTGGTACAGGAAACAGAAGTTCCTGTACCGCGGTGCGCACACATTCGCTCCATAAGACACACAGATATTTCCCCTTACTTTTGAGAAGGAAAAAGTACGTCTTATAGAGCGAAAAATACAGTACTTCTTTAGGACAGCATATCAATTCAACTGTGAACAGCGTTCCCTCCCCGCACCCTGATATCTCTCCTGAAACTGTCATCAAAACACTAAGCCCTCAATGAATACTATCCTAGCAACCTTCTTTTCTACCCTACCCTTACCTTTTGTGTCACTATACCCCACTCTCTCTAGCATGTAAGCTCATTGAGCAGTCCCTCTGTTCCTGTGCGTCAAACTTGTCTGATTACAAATACATGTTAGTTCACCCATTGTACAGCGCTACAGAACTTGTTGGTGCTTTATAAATAATAATAATAATCAGGAAAGCATTGTATAATGCAGAGGCGTAACTAGAAACCACGGGGCCTCTGTGCGAAAATTGTCCTGGGGCCCCCCCATATGTCTACCCTCCAATATGTTACCTCCCCCACACATGCAGACAAACAGATACACATACATACAGGCACGCATATAAAGACACACACACATACATACAAACACACACATACATACAGACACACAGACATACAGACAGACACACATACATACACACTGACATACAAACACACATACACCTACATAGAAACATATAATGTGACGGCAGATAAGAACCATTCGGCCCATCTAGTCTGCCTAATTTTCTAAATACTTTCATTAGTCCCTAGCCTTATCTTATAGTTAGGATAGCCTGGTCCCCTCTCTCCCTCCTTTCCCCTGTGTCCCTGGCTAGCCTGGTCCCCTCTCTCCCTCCTTTCGCCTGTGTCCCCTCTCTCCCTCCTTTCCCCTGTGTCCCAGGCCAGCCTGGTCCCCTCTCTTCCTCCTTTCCCCTGTGTCCCTGGCCAGCATGGTCCCCTCTCTCCCTCCTTTCCCCAGTGTCCCTGGCTAGCCTGGTCCCTCTCTTCTTCCTTTCCCTTGTGTCCCTGGTTAGCCTGGTCCCTCTCTTCTTCCTTTCCCCTGTGTCCCTGGCCAGCCTGGTCCCCTCTCTCCCTCCTTTCCCTTGTGTCCCTGGCTAGCCTGGTCCCTCTCTTCTTCCTTTCCCTTGTGTCCCTGGTTAGCCTGGTCCCTCTCTTCTTCCTTTCCCCTGTGTCCCTGGCTAGCCTGGTCCCCTCTCTCCCTCCTTTCCCCTGTGTCCCTGGCCAGCCTGGTCCCATCTCTCCCTCCTTTCCCCTGTGTCCCTGGCCAGCCTGGTCCCTCTCACCCTCCTTTCCCCTGTGTCCCTGGCCAGCCTGGTCCACTCTCTCCCTCCTTTCCCCTGTGTCCCTGGCCAGCCTGGTCCCCTCTCTCCCTCCTTTCCCCTGTGTCCCTGGTTAGCCTGGTCCCCTCTCTCCCTCCTTTCCCCTGTATCCCTGGCTAGCCTGAGTCCTCTCTCCACTCCTTTCCCTGTGTCCCTGTGGCCTGGTCCCTCTCCCTCCTTCCCCCACCTGTGTCCCACCAGCCAGCCCTGATCCCCTCTCTCCCTCCTTCCCCCTGTGTCCCTGGCCAGCCTGGTCCCCTCTCCCTCCTTTCCCCTGTGTCTCTGGCTAGCCTGATCCCTCTCTCCCTCCTTTCCCCTGTGTCCCTGGCCAGACTGGTCCCCTCTGTCCCTCCTTTCCCCTGTGTCCCTGGTTAGCCTGGTCCCCTCTCTCCCTCCTTTCCCCTGTGTCCCTGGTTAGCCTGGTCCCCTCTCTCCCTCCTTTCCCCTGTGTCTCTGGCTAGCCTGGTCCCCTCTCTCCCTCGTGTGCCTGGCTAGCCTGGTCCTCTCTCTCCCTCCTTTCCCCTGTGTCCCTGGCCAGCCTGGTCCCCTCTCCCTCCTTTCCCCTGTGTCTCTGGCTAGCCTGATCCCTCTCTCCCTCCTTTCCCCTGTGTCCCTGGCCAGACTGGTCCCCTCTCTCCCTCCTTTCCCCTGTGTCCCTGGTTAGCCTGGTCCCCTCTCTCCCTCCTTTCCCCTGTGTCCCTGGCCAGCCTGGTCCCTCTCTCCCTCCTTTCCCCTGTGTCTCTGGCTAGCCTGATCCCTCTCTCCCTCCTTTCCATACAGACCCCCTATGGTGGGCGCCGGGTGCATTGTGGGAGTCCGTGCCATGGAGACGGGGAAGCCTGTGTGGTTCGCCGTGTCCCCGGTGCGGGGCCGGGAGCTGGGGCTCGGGATCTCCCTCGTGTTTTTCTTGCTGTGCATCCCGGGCCCCGGACACAGCTTCTCCATCCCCTTCCAGCGGCCCGGGGACTGCGGCCTCCGGCAATACTATGACCGAGCCAGCCTGTCCTGCCAGCAATGCCCGGACACCATGCGGCCCGGCCCGGAGGGTAAATAACAAACACCGCCGTGTACCTACCGCCATATACCGGCTAACCACCCACCGCCGTGTACCTACCGGCTAACCACCCACCATCCTGTACCAGTCACCGGGGAGGGTATAATATCCACCCACCATCCTGTACCAGTCACCGGGGGGGATATGATATCCACCGCCATCCTGTACCAGTCACCGGGGAGAGTATAATATCCACCCTACCATCCTGTACCAGTCACCGGGGAGGGTATAATATCCACCCTACCATCCTGTACCAGTCACCGGGGAGGGTATAATATCCACCCACCATCCTGTACCAGTCACCGGGGAGGGTATAATATCCACCCACCATCCTGTACCAGTCACCGGGGAGAGTATAATATCCACCCACCATCCTGTACCAGTCACCGGGGAGAGTATAATATCCACCTACCATCCTGTACCAGTCACCGGGGAGAGTATAATATCCACCCACCATCCTGTACCAGTCACCGGGGAGAGTATAATATCCACCTACCGTCCTGTACCAGTCACCGGGGAGAGTATAATATCCACCTACCGTCCTGTACCAGTCACCAGGGAGAGTATAATATCCACTCACCATCCTGTACCAGTCACCGGGGAGAGTATAATATCCACCCACCATCCTGTACCAGTCACCGGGGAGAGTATAATATCCACCCGCCATCCTGTACCAGTCACCGGGGAGAGTATAATATCCACCTACCGTCCTGTACCAGTCACCGGGGAGAGTATAATATCCACCTACCGTCCTGTACCAGTCACCAGGGAGAGTATAATATCCACTCACCATCCTGTACCAGTCACCGGGGAGAGTATAATATCCACCCGCCATCCTGTACCAGTCACCAGGGAGGGTATAATATCCACCCACCATCCTGTACCAGTCACCGGGGAGGGTATAATATCCACCCACCATCCTGTACAAGTCACCGGGGAGGGTATAATATCCACCCACCATCCTGTACCAGTCACCAGGGAGGGTATAATATCCACCAACCATCCTGTACCAGTCACCAGGGAGGGTATAATACAGGGAGGGTATAATATCCACCTACCATCCTGTACCAGTCACCAGGGAGAGTATAATATCCACCTACCATCCTGTACCAGTCACCAGGGAGAGTATAATATCCACCAACCATCCTGTACCAGTCACCGGGGAGGGTATAATATCCACCTACCATCCTGTACCAGTCACCAGGGAGAGAATAATATCCACCTACCATCCTGTACCAGTCACCAGGGAGAGTATAATATCCACCTACCATCCTGTACCAGTCACCAGGGAGAGTATAATATCCACCAACCATCCTGTACCAGTCACCGGGGAGGGTATAATATCCACCTACCATCCTGTACCAGTCACCAGGGAGAGAATAATATCCACCTACCATCCTGTACCAGTCACCAGGGAGAGTATAATATCCACCTACCATCCTGTACCAGTCACCGGGGAGGGTATAATATCCACATACCATCATGTACCAGGCATCAAGGATGGTATAGTAACCATGTATGCTGTTGGGAAGTGGTGGCTATATTAATGCCAAATGGGTCATTACATGAATGACTTAATGACTACTGGAGGTTTTAGATCTGTGCAAAACAAAGATACATGCACTCATGAAATAGTGGTTATGGCAATCTGTGCCAACCATGGCTATAGGCACACTCTAGGTGGGAGTTTTTTATATACCATTACTGCAGGTATTCTGAGTACTAAAATAGTTAAATAAAAAGTATGGCAATCCATTCAAATTTAACTATATCTAAAGCACTCATTGGCACTAGAGATGTCGCGAACCGTCCGCGAACTTCTTGCGAACAGTTCGCCGCCGTTCGCCACGAGCTGTTCGCGGCGAACTCCGGTCAGCTGACACGTCCCGGCCAATCTCCAGCAGACCCTCCCTCCCAGACCCTCCCACTTCCTGGACAGCATCCGTGCTGTCCTGGAAGTAGGAGGGTCTGGGAGGGAGGGTCTGCTGGAGATTGGCCGGGAAGTGTCAGCTGACCGGAGTTCGCCGCGAACAGCTCGTGGCGAACCGTTCGCGAGAAGTTCGAGGACGGTTTGCGACATCTCTAATTGGCACTGTTTTCACTCATTATGGGAGTGTTATACAAGTCTACGCAAGCCATGGATCTAGGCACTGAAGTTATGGGAGTGTAGTATAGATCTATGCAAACCATGACTATATACTGCCTAACATTTCAAAAGGGCAAAGAAGGACACTTGATTTTTAGTTGTGCGAGTAGCAGTGTGGTCAGGGGCAACTCTTTTGTTGCGACATTTTAGGTGATTTACCTAATAATGTATTCGGCTATAATTTAGATCAAAAACAATGTATCTTATTTACAAAGACTGATTTCTAAACACAGTTATTGTGGTCTAAAGACACATTACTGGGCGTATCATTGCTGTGGAGCTCTGTTATACACTGAGATACACAAAGAATATTGATCTCCTAGAAAAGAGGGACATTAGGATATAAAAGATGGACAGAGGGATTTGTGCCGAAAATAGGGACACTCAGAGGGTATGTGAATATAGACACTCAGAGTATGGTCATTTTATATAGGCACCCAGAGTTTGGGCATGTTATATAGATCTCTGCCAACCATGGATATATTCATTCGGAGTCTTGAAGTGATGTATAGATGTATGCAAACCATTTGTATAGACACCAATATTATGGAAGTATTATATAGATCTCTGCCAACCATGGATATATTCATTCAGAGTCTTGAAGTGATGTATAGATGTATGCAAACCATTTGTATAGATACCAATATTATGGAAGTATTATATAGATCTCTGCCAACCATGGATATATTCATTCAGAGTCTTGAAGTGATGTATAGATGTATGCAAATCCTTTGTATAGACACCAATATTATGGAAGTATTATATAGATCTCTGCCAACCATGACTATAGACACCAAGATTATGGGGGTGTTATATATACATGCCAACCATGACTTATAGGCACTTAGAGTTTAGGAGTGATATATAGATTCATGCAAATCATGGCAGTATTGTACATATGCCTGCCAGCTATAACATTAAGCATTCAGCGTGTGGGAGTGTTATACATTCAGATCTGAAACATTTCAATAGAAAACATGGAATTTATTTGAAGTTATTGAATAGAGTAGCTCTATACACTCATTATATAAGAGTGAAATGCATAGTATACAGAAACAGCTATATGTAAAACATGGCTAGTGTATAATAGTGTAATAGGCAGAACTAAAGTTAAAGGCTCACTCCATTGCTCAAATTTAAATAAAAATCACTATTTAGTAGATATACTCCGACAGAAGCCATGTATGCATTTAATATTGCATTTTATTTCCATCCCATTGTACAGCGCTGCAGAATTTTGCTGGCGCTATATAAATAATAAAATAATAATAATAATTTGGGGCATATCTAAAACAGCTTGCAAAAGCTGCATATCTCTTGTCCTCCCATTGTAACCCAGCCTAGACTTTATGTGCCTGTCCCATCATTGGCCCAATGCAGCTCAATGAGAAGTCTTTGCAACGTGCTCTGCGGAATGCCTGCCTCTTGAGTTAGATTTGATGAGATAAACTACCAGGGATTTACAAGACCAGTTGTCTGATTGACAGCCAAGGTAGTGTAAGAAGGTCAATTTAAAAAAGTACCAATTTCTATTAAAACCTGCACTTCTACACTTTTTGCAAATTGAAAAGGAGGACTGAAGAGCTTTAGGTGTTTAGGCTGTTCCTTTAGTTTAATTTTGAACAGTATTACATTTCATTATATTGGCATCAGCTAAAACTTTATGTTTTTATCAGGTACTTCATGTGTGTGTCTTCCTGGATACAAGTTGCTGTCTAGTCATGGCCCTGTGGGGGCCTGTCTGAAGTGCCCTGGGAATATGGTAAGCATTTTACTTTCAGGGCTACCAAATAAGTTGTGAATTGCTGGGAATTTAAAGTTAATTTAACATTTTAAGCCAAAAAAATCTGCTACCCTGCTGCCACCACTACCCCACCCCTTTTAAAAATGAGCATTTCATAAAGCAGCGATCGACAAATCCCAGGCGCCATGTCGCCATGGCGACTAGAAATTTCACCCTGGCGTCTTGGATTTGTCAGCCCTAAGGTGGCCTCCGAGGGAGCTTTGAAGGCGGCCGCTGCGGGGACCAATCGAGCCACCGGAGCATAGAGGAGGCCGGCAGAGAGAGCATTGGAGCCAGCATGCGAGGATGCAGTAATCTTCCTGCGGCTCCTCTCAGCTCCTTTGCCCGCTGTTTAGGAAAACCGGAGCAAGAATATGTCGTCACTCCAGCCCCAGCATCACTACTGAGAGCGCAGAGAGGAGCAAAGAGGAACAGCTGTAAAATTAGAGAGCATCCCCACTGGACCCCAGTGAAGATCCACTCAGCTCTCCCAAAGGTAGGACAGCTAGGTGAATTTAAATTAAAACAAAAATGTCAGTCTGTGAGTGTGTGAGAAAATGTGTGTATGTGTGAATGTCAGTAAGTGGTGTGTATGTGTGTCTCTGTCAGAGAGTGTGTGTATATGTCTCTGTCAGAGAGTGTGTCTACTTCAGTCAGCGAGTGTATGCCTGTCAGTGTGTGTGTCTGCCTCTGTCAGAAAGTGTGAGCCTTTCAGTGTGTCTGAGCTGTGAGCCTGTCAGTGTGTGTGCGTCTGTCTGTCAGTGTGTGTATCTATTTAGGTACCTGCCCCCTCTAATCGCATAAGAAAGGTGTTTTTACTCACATGCTGTGCCAGTTTTGCTGCGGCTGATCCCGCCTCCATGGCTGAGATTCTTCCTATGAAGGTCTCCCAGGATCCTCCATAAACATCAGTGTTATACTCGTACACATGCACGAGAGTACAGCACTGAAGTCGGCTTCTGGTAATTGAGAATATTAGACTGGTCCCACCCGTACAGGCAATCCAGATCCAAAGTGCCAGCAAATTCCCTCTGCACAAGAGATACAGCAACCCCATGATCGTTTCAACCTTGTAAGGCATCATCAGTGAGGTAAAGCCAATATCCCTCTAGGCACCGTGAGCAAGTGGTACCACGTCTGGATTGCCCTTTAAACTTAAGGAGAGAAAAACAAGTAGCAAGAGAGCTGAGAACGGACAACAACTCAATTAGCCTGCCCTTCGGTGGATCCCCGCTCAGATCTCAAGCTGGTCTTAGCTCATCTTGTGCCATTACAGAAAGAACATATCTGAAGCATATCAGACTGGTCCCACCCGTACGGGCAGTCCAGATCCGAAATGCCAGCAAGTTCCCATTGCACGAGAGATACGGCAACCCCAGACGATCGTTTCAACCTTATAAGGTATCATCAGTGAGGTATAACCAATATCCATCTAGGGTCCACGTCTGGACTGCCCTTTAAACTCAAGGAGAGAAAAACAAGTAGCAAGAGAGGTGAGAACGGACAACAGCTCAATTAGCCTGCATTTCGGTGCGTCCCCGCTCAGATCTCAAGCTGGTTTTAGCTCATCTTGTGCCATTATAGAGAGATATCTGAAGCATATCAGACTGGTCCCACCCATACGGTTAGTCCTGATCCGAAATGCCAGCAAGTTTCCTCTGCATGAGAGATACAGCAACCCCAGGCAATTGTTTCAACCTTGTAAGGTATCATCAGTGAGGTATAGCCAATATCCCTCTAGGCACCGTGAGCAAGGGGTCCACATCTGGATTGTCCTTTAAACGTAAGGAGAGAAAAACAAGTAGCAAGAGAGGTGAGAACCGACAACAGCTAAATTAGCCTGCCCTTCGGTGGGTCCCTGCTCAGATCTCAAGCTGGTCTTAGCTCATCTTGTGCCATTACAGAAAGAACATATCTGAAGCATATCAGACTGGTCCCACCCGTACGGGCAGTCCAGATCCGAAATGCCAGCAAGTTCCCGTTGCACGAGAGATACGGCAACCCCAGACGATCGTTTCAACCTTATAAGGTATCATCAGTGAGGTATAACCAATATCCATCTAGGGTCCACGTCTGGACTGCCCTTTAAACTCAAGGAGAGAAAAACAAGTAGCAAGAGAGGTGAGAACGGACAACAGCTCAATTAGCCTGCATTTCGGTGCGTCCCCGCTCAGATCTCAAGCTGGTTTTAGCTCATCTTGTGCCATTATAGAGAGATATCTGAAGCATATCAGACTGGTCCCACCCATACGGTTAGTCCTGATCCGAAATGCCAGCAAGTTTCCTCTGCATGAGAGATACAGCAACCCCAGGCAATTGTTTCAACCTTGTAAGGTATCATCAGTGAGGTATAGCCAATATCCCTCTAGGCACCGTGAGCAAGGGGTCCACATCTGGATTGTCCTTTAAACGTAAGGAGAGAAAAACAAGTAGCAAGAGAGGTGAGAACGGACAACAGCTAAATTAGCCTGCCCTTCGGTGGGTCCCTGCTCAGATCTCAAGCTGGTTTTAGCTCATCTTGTGCCATTCAGAGAGAACATATCTAAAGCATATCAGACTGGTCCCACCCATACAGGCAGTCCAGATCCGAAATACCAGCAAGTTCCCTCTGCATGAGAGATACAGCAACCCCAGGCGATCGTTTCAACCTTGTATCAGGCCATGCTGTTTTCTTTACTGTATCTTTGCTGTGGCAGCAAAGACTTTCTTAAAATGACTTGGATTTTTAACAGCTGCAGTTCAGGTGGATATTGTTTGAGGTGACCACAAGTGTGTTACCTATGACATTTCTGACGTTTATTCATAAATCTCTACACCAAATTATAGTGAATTGAAATCCAAACTGCAAATATTGCTGACATTCTCCAATTTGGCTTAAGAAACAGATTGACTACTTTAGCCTAAATTCAGATTTCAGTTCGGTATAATTGGTAGTTTCATGAATAACAAACCTCTTTGTCTTTTCTTACCTGTTGATATTTTAGGGTGTTACGTCAGATGGCTGGGATTGTATTCACTGTCCCAATGGACTAACCCTCAGTGGAAACTGCCAGTGCTCACCAGGATACATTTTAAGTAAGTAATATATTTACTGACATGAGCCCCCCTCCTGCTGGGCTGCAGGGTTAAAACTAGAGGGACCTGGCACCCAGACCACTTCATTGAGCTGAATTGGTCTGGGTGCTTATAGTGGTCCTTTAAGCATATTTGCATTTTAGAGATTTGTAGAGTTATTTACTAAATGTGAATTTTCAGGAAATCAAATAGATTTTTTTCCAATTCTGCTGTTTTCGCCTAAAATTAACTCGTATAACAAAATACCCAAATTCCCCCACATTTTCACTTTAGTAGATGTAACGGCACCCCCAGGCATAAAAAGGTTAAACCGCCGTTTAGTAGATCTTCCCCTTCCAGAGATACAGGCACAGCTACTGCAGAACACCAAACTCCCAAACCGCATGTAAGGGAATGCTCCAAACTCCCGAACTGCATACAAAATAGCACTCCAGAACTGGAACCTCACGAATAGCTGCTAGCTGACGAATAGGAAAAGCACTCAAGCGGCTTACACTCCTAGCAATCAGTCTCTATCTGCATACAGTAAATCCCCCCAAGAACGAGACAGAGCTCCGTGTTGAGGGTCAAGCAGTGGTCTGGTTTAATGAGGGCTACCTGCCCAGTATGTATGCAGGTCTCCCACCTGGTGGACACTCCCCTAGGGGACCAAATGGGAGACTGTGACAAAGGACAGACGTGAACCAATGACAGACACACAGAGATAAAACATCCCCACAATGCATCCTAACCTCCCTCCCTCTGTCCTGGTGATAATTGGGAAGTAATCCAATTATCTCCCAGGACAGAGGCAAAACTCTATTACCCACATGGCAGTAAAAGACATAAAAATGTATAAAGTTACAACTGTTGCACAAAACATATACATTTTACCTATCCCCAGATAGCTTAGATCTGAGCGCACAAAAGTACCGAATAGCGCTCAGATCCTATGCACACAGTCCAATCGCTGTGGAGTTAAAGTGTTCACAAAGTCTGTTCTCCATACGAATAGACTCCACGGGATGGGTATCTGGGGTAATGCTGTTCATATGGTTTAAACTACCGAATGAACAGGCATCCGGTTAAATGACCGAATGCAGAAGCAAGGAGGCTGACGTCTCAGCGGTGTTCGCGCAGATAAGTGTCCGTTTCCAGTTCCATAGTATTTGCGCTGAACACCGTTGGCCATTCGGGACTTTAAAATGGCCGCCGCCACGTGTTTGGCAAACGAACAAAGGCCACCCAGCATTTGTCAATTAAGCTGTGGTTAACCACAGCTTCTGGGAGGTAAATTGCCCACACACTCCAGCTCCCAGGTGGTCCAGTCATTCGTGTGTTAGTTCGGTAGAGTGAATCTACCGACCGCCAGGCAGAAAGGCACGAATAAGCCTTTTCTGCAGGGGAAAAGAAGGCTTTTAACATGGGGCCATAGTCCAAAGGCAACAGGCGAGCAACCAGGCTTCTCCAATGCAATGTGGCGAAATTGGTCTCGTCACAGTAGATAACCCTGTCGGTTTCCATTTTTTATGCCCTTTTTGTTATCTTTTGCTTGTAATTATGTTGCAACATATCAATAGCTGAAAATGCTGCACGCTTGTGTCTAAAATATATACATGTGTAATAGGTGAGGTCATTTGGTTAATATGCTGACTACAGTGCCTGATCGAGTCTCACAATCACAAGTCAAAGTCGTCAGCCATCCTTTTTTCTGTGTTTCGTAAAATGAGAGCTGTAAAATGTTTAAATTCTGCAAGGGGAAAAATGTAAACCAATTTGAATTTTATTGATAAATAAGGATATTACATTTAAACCTCAGATCTTAATATTTATTTTCAGTTGAAAGAGATTTTAATGGTACCTTGCTAAATAAGGCTGTGTGTGTTGATTGTGATGAGAACGAGCCATCTTTCACATCATCCAATGCATTTGGAGACAGGTAAATGCAGAACACCTATGTGTTTAATTCACATTTTCTAAAGAAAGGGAGTTTGTTAGTGCTCTAGCTTTTTCTATCACTTTTTACCCAATAATGCCAAGAGTAGGATCATATATGTATTATATACTGAGAACTGTTTATTATACTCCTATCAGGTGCAAAGTAGTTTTATCCAGTGGTCTAATGCACAGTTAGCTTGTCAGTGCCCATATAAATCATTATATTGCTATATTAGAACACAAAGTTAAAATGGCTTGTTACCTGCGGAAATTTAATTAACAAGTACCTGAGAATGCATATAGTGTAAATTACAATGCCAAGCTATATAATAATAATCATTAAATCTAAGGAAATAGCACTTGTTTACTGATTTGTTTGCTGCAGAATCAAATTCAGTTTTCACATACAGCATGTGTTAGCTTTAGGCTACCTCTGATTACCTCAGTTACTCTGTGCTAGCATTGCTAATATTTTGTCTGCTTCTTTAGGTGTGAAAGATGCCACGACACCTTTATCAACAGGAGTAACTCCTGCAGCTGCCAGCAACCAAATATTTTGGTAAGAGCTGTTTTCATCTCAATAAACAATGCTGATATCTATGTTATGTGTTTGCTAGACTTAGATAGACATCTGGTAATTATTTTCAGTTGCAAATATAAAAAAATAGCTGTTTCTGTTTGCCATTTCCATAACTATTATGACTAGACTGAATAGTCGACACAATGATCTCTACAGAAGTAGATCCCCGGCTTATTTAGAAATATAACCTTTAACTGGCAAAGAACAATGGTAGTTCTAGTACCACAGCATCTTGTGGTTTACCATTTGGGAAACCAATAATCTATAGAATATTGGACTATTGTAATATTCCATACTTGTAGAATCTTACATTGTGGTTACAGGGTTCTTCACTGTTTTTTTTTCTAGGCTGGAGGCATATGTTTCAGTAGAGCAAACAATTTTCTCTCTAGAGTCCTCCCTACAATTAGATTTGGACACTTGGTGAGTTTTCATGATTTGCTTAAAAATATCGTGAATGTTTCTTGTAATATCTGTGTCAAACTATTATTGTTTTTCTTTTATTCTTCCAGGGTGTAATGTTGAGATCCGAATGGCTTTCTCTTCATTTACAGGCATCAGCAGCAGCTTGTTTGGTAAGGCTGTTTGTATTTTTTTCCCATATATTTTTTTTAAATGTTCATCGTAGAATCGAGTGACCGACAGGAAGGAAGAGCAGAGCACTCCCACTACCAGTCACTCAGTGTAGCGTGTTCGAGTGGAGGAGTGTGGACCGCGGTAAAGGAGCTTCAGTTTCCTGTACCTGACCAGACTGACAGGAAATGCTCACAGGGAGAAACTAAAGCACCTGTACCGCACTCTGCTCAGCCATGCTACAAGAGAAGTAATGGGGCACCCCAGCAAGGGGAGAGGACCACTAAGGGGGGAGGGTGGGAGAAAGGGGAGAGGAACACTAAGGGACAGGGAGGGGAGAGGTACACCAAGGGACAGGGAGGAGAGAGGTACACTAAGGGACAGGGAGAGGAGGGGAACGCCAAGGGACAGGAAGGTGAGGGGAGAGGAACACTAAGGGACAGGGAAAGGAGAGGAACACTAAATATTCTTGAAAACAAAAACACATGACTGGCTTGTATATTTTGTGCATTTACCACTTAATAAAAAAAGATTTACAAAAATAGATAAATAATAAACATGTTGTGGGGATATTTATGGGATAATAATAGTAACAGTAAGAATTGCCCACTAATTGAATTCTCAGATCCCAAAGAACGTTTATCGTGTTAAGTGAGAAGTATATCATATAAATAATATTCACAATTTTATAAAAATAGATTTTATTTTTAATAACAAATTAATTAATAATAATAATATGTAACATGCGTGACAATAATCAATGAATATTCAGTATAAAATGGTATGCAATACAAAGGAATGGGTATTACGTCTCAACGGCTAAAACAGCATTTCTGTCAAGTCTTCTGATTTATGAGGTATCTTTAACAGACTGAAAGTGAAACTTTTCACAGCAAAGGGCCATAAAACCCTGGCTAACAGTTAGAATAACCCTTTCAATGCTGGCTAGATCTCCTAGGTAGTTAAGATCTATTCTTATGTAATTTTAAATAAAATAACATTTAAACCAGTTCATTAGTCATTTCCTGGAACCATCCAATAAGAGAATCTACCATATTATATAAGCAGATTTTTAATTTGTCTAAAAGATATCTTATCTTAATTTAGAGCAAATCAATACACCTGGATAAAAACAGCGGTATGCTAACATGTGATAATATCACATCAATATATAATTATTCTTAATTCCACCTGCAGAATGGAATGTTTATAACTATATATTCTTTAGTTAACTAAGATTTCTTAATATGGAAATCTGACCGTGCTTTATCCAGTCATATATAATGCTATTAATACATTTTAATTAATTTAATTAATTAAATGAAACCAGTATAATTACCAGTTGAGTAGATATTTCATCCGATTGGTAGACAGTCTCAGGAACTTATTTGGATGTCTGTCTGCATGGAGGTTGGAGTCCCCAAACTTCCAATTCCTCTCTCCTCTTTTTCTTTCTCTTTTGCATTTCTAATCTTCCCTTTGTCCTAACTTTTAAAGGGCCAGACTCTCTGTACGTCATCAGTTAATAACCCAATAGAAGCACTAGAGGTGTGGTTATCTTCCGGATCGCAATTTAGGTATTTGGTCTATAGAGGGCAGTCTTGTCCCACTAAACATACCTATCCAGGAAAGAGTTAACTTTTCCTGGTGGCTATTTTGACGTCATTTTGGCCTATCTAGATAGTGGCCATAACTTACGTATCCTTCACAGATCAAAGGGTTTCTTTAAGTTTTGTCCAGACTATGTGTCTGGCAAATCCTGCTATAATTTCTAAAATGGCAGATCATGAACTAAGTTTAACCTTAAACTTACAATGGTACCTTATAGATATAGACAGTTAATTTTTATTATTTAATCTTCTCTGTCACAATTGTCTGGGTTTAGATTTGATCTATTCCATTAGCATTAGACAGTCTGTCCAACCCCCTTTCTGCTTATCACTTGGTTTATACTATGCATTCCTTTAGCTCTGGGAAAGTGGCCAGTTCTACAGAAAGAAATCTTGTGTCTTTTGTTAACTTGAAAATAACAAAATGGAGTCTGGTCTGTTCAGAGTGACTCAGAATATACACTTTTAATTTCTATCATAGCACAAGATGTCTGCCGATATAAATACCCTGACAATGTTCAGTTAACAGTAGATTTGAGTAGAAATTGTTTCTTCTTTTCAAAATGGTAAATGTACAGAATATCGGTAAGTTATCGGCTATCGGCCTGAAAGTTCACAGATTATCGATATCAGCTCTAAAAAATCACTATCGGTCGATCCCTACTCTAGATACATTTGTTATCTGGAGTTTATTTCCAAACAACAGTATCCGTTTATTTTGTTGGGCTGTTGAATATGGTTGTCAATTATATCACCCCTGCTTAAAATCTTTTTGTTACTTACCTTTGCTATAAAAACTAAAGAATCAACAAGCTTTCTACAAAACAGCAGATGTCATATCAAATGAATGCGTTCCTTTGTTTAATTTGCTGCATGCAATTTGTACTGTATATGATATTGGTGACGGTTCCTGATTTTTGTGTATTTATATCCTGTGTGCATTGTGAGAGATGAGTGCTGTGTATGACATCTTTGTCTCAGATACTGTTCATCCTATGGCGGATTGTGATTGACAGTTGGAAACAATTTAGGTGCAATATGTTGCTTCATGCCATGCTTTTACATTTTGGAGCTGGTTTTAACAACAAGTAAAATAATTTTACTAATACACTGTGTTTATTTTTGTAGCTGTACTCCAATCAAACAGCGTGCCAGGCTTTGGGGAACATGTGTGTGATGAATATGCATTCCTTGGGGTCCCCAGATTCAGACGCATGCTTTATCTTCCGCTATATATACACAAACACAGCCAGACTGGGATCTCTTCATTCCATTGCTTTCTGGTAAAATGGAAATGATTGCAAGTTATTTTAGTAATGCCGTTAGTAATAGCCAAGATAAAAGGAAACTATCACTTCTCTGGGAATTACATAATTGAATAAATTATTTAAAGTCACCTATAACTTATTAAACTTTTTCATGATCCTTTTTCTTTTAAATGAATGTGAAAGATTTAGCAAATTACATCACATTCCAGTTTTGTCCACGGACAGCCAGGGCAAACATTGCAAATGAGGAGAAATAGAGACATTGTTTCATCTTCTGTGTATGCTTTCTGTATGCCAATTACCAGGTACAAAGGACAGAGCGAGTGAAAAGGATTCATACAGAGCTAAGATGGAGGCACTCAGTTGTAGGATAAAAGCATGCGGATTGTAACTTTTTTTTTTCTTTTCACAGCTCACAAATATATATTAATATATATTTATAAGTCCCTGTGTCTGAATGTATTTCTTTGCCCACACACTTATTTTTCATAAATTGTTTTTCATAAAATACAAAAGGAAAAGCAAGAACATACCTTATGTGTAGAGGAAAGCAGGCCAAACTAAATAGGGTTTTGTTTCATTTGTTAATCACATTTGCTGACAATCTATCAGTGAAATTAATCTCATAGAGAGGCAAACAGTGGACATCATGGAGAGAGGAGAAAAAATGACTGTGCCAAGTTATTGAGATCCAGCATAAGTAATAAAAGATAATACATTTAAATAAAGGCAAGTGCCTTGTGGGTGGGGTGTGGGGGAGTATAGTCATTTAAATACAGGGGCTGGAGGAATGGAAAATAAAACATCTGTGCCTCATTAAAGGGATACCATACGCACCCAGACCACTTCAGCTCATTGAAGTGCTTTGGGTGCACTGTCACAGGTTCCTTAACCTTGAGCAGGTAATTATAATTACCTGCTAGGGTTTTCTCCACCCCTAGCATTAGAGAAATTTCCGGGCTGTTGGGCCACGTTATGCAAGGGAACATTCAGCGTCACCCAAAACCCGATAGGAAAGCATTGAATGTCAGCGGGGTGGAGAGAAGGTGGGCACGTGTCAGCGCTGAGGGACATCAGCGCTGGACCCAGGTGAGTGACAGAAGGGTTTTTTAACGGGAGAGGGGTGGGGGGGGGGCTTCTGGGGGGACTTGACGGTGGAGGAAGCTATAGTACCAGGAAAGCGAGTTTGTTTTCCTGGCACTATAGTTTCCCTTTAAGTCTGTTTATTAGTACAGAACACTTGTATATTGTGTCATTGCTGTATAATAATACAATAAATATAATACCTTCTAGGAGACCCAATCTACCATGGCTTTATTATGATGATCAACCAGGCTTAGCATCTCGAGTTCTTACAACTTCTCCATTTCCTTCAAGCTTCTCCTTTAAATCAAGGGAACAGGTATGTACAATAAGGGCAGCAGACTTGCTAAACTGGAATATTATTTTACTAGCAGTAAAATGGTTATGGTTGGAGCATTGCCAAAAATGTAGAAATTTAATTCCCTTAATCAAGAATACTACTAATGTAATGTAGGTGTAAACAGTTCTACTTGGAGAAAAGATTAGGATCATCAGCTATCTGACAAATATCTGACAAATAACTTGGACCCATACCTCTTCCAGGAACACAGCTCAAAGCTTCCATTTGTAGCAGCTCTATATGATGTGCGAGGGAATTTCTTGAAATGGCACACTTTGGATGGCGGTCTACTACAGGTAAACGTTCTGCTCCTGAACCGTCACCTTCCTTTCCTTTCCTCACTCCATCTTACTTCCCCTAAGTAAGGGACTCTCCAAATGAGCCAAGAAGGATTGGGTTAAGGGAGGATGCACACAGTGATGGAATGGAGGTAAGTATTAGATTTCCTTTTTCTTTTTTTGATGAGGGGGGGGGGGAAAGATTGATCACTTCGGAAAGGGTTACTCTACCCAAAACCAGTGAGAATGCAACAAGCTGATCTTCACTAATATACACAATTCCTGTACTGGTGGCATTTATGACATAAGAATGTGGTATAAATACACAAATAGGAAATCCTAATAGAATAATGCATGTCACATGGTCGTTTATCATGCGTTCAAGGCCTTTTTCGGTCAGTGTGCAACCACTTTCTACTGACACCCTACTAAAAGATATTCAGATTTTTTTCTGCATCTTTGACTAAAGTAGCATCTGTAGATTTTTTATATCCTGTGTGTGTATATGTGATGCAGAAAGTAATATTACACGCAGGCTGGGCAGTACAGTCCTGTAAGAATAGTGCATGCAAGGTGTACATGGGTCACTTGATCTTTAACACCCTGTAAGTTGATATTTACTAAAGCAATACAGGGGCTTCACAAACCGTGCTTGCAAAATGTCTAACATAGACTGTATTTGGTATGTTCTTTCCTACACATATTTGTATTATATATTAGTAATCACCTGATTCATGTGTTTCCTTTGAATAGCTTTGTCCTGACATTGTGACACGGTTGGATGCTGCATACACATTTGGCACAACATATGAGCAAAATGTAAGTCTTGTGTTTTGTCATTTTACAAATGCACTATATGCTGTAGAAACATGAAGAGAAATAGTTTTTCATTTTTTTGTAAAAATTTTTTTTAATTCATTCATTCTGTGGACAGGTGTCTTTTTATAAAGGTAACGAGCTGAGATTAGAAGCACTCCCTTTAAGAGAGTGCTCCTAATCTCAGCTCGTTACCTGTATAAAAGACACCTGGGAGCAAGAAATCTTGCTGATTGATAGGAGATCAAATACTTATTTCACTCATTGACATGCAAATCAATTTATAACTTTTTTGACATGAGTTTTTCTGGATTTTTTTTTTTGTTATTCTGGCAAATGTTCAAAATCAGCAGGTGATCACATACTTTTTCCCCTCACTGTAGCTACTTACAGACACCTCCCTCATCAGGAATAGATGTTTCAATCAGGAGCACCTCATACTGGTGTGGTCTATTCTTGTCCCTTAAACCCTAGTCCAGGACACTACCTGCACAGAATGACAGAATTCATATCAGGCAGACAGCACTTAGTGATCCGACTGGGTTAGGATTTCAGCAGTTTCTATACATTTCTACAGTCACTGTCAGACCTGGGAACTCGTACAGGGTACTCTCTGTACAATCTACTTTTCAATTAGGCAAAGTTGGAATGATGATATAAAAACTTTATTTTGTTTTCGTGAAACAAGATGATGACTGCTCCAGATTTTTTTTCCATGTGATATTTTTTGTATATATTGTTTTCAGTGATACTAAATAAACTTTGCAATGTATGAAGAGAAATCACGTTTTGTTTTATGGAATAGACAACACTGATGTCTCGATGTGTATGCTTCCCCTATGATAGCATGCAGCTGGGGTTGAAAAAATAAAAGCAGCAACACAATAGTACCATTTCAAGTACCCATATTAAGATCATTTTGTTCATATTGCCCATAAAATGGTTTTAAATAATGCATGTGAACAGCCTTGCCAACAGCCCTTTAAATGCCTCTGAGGTCAGTTAAAGTACGTGTGTCATGCATGTAAGACATGGTAACACTTTAAAGTATCATACATCAGCTACTAACTGTATAAGCCAAATTGCTAGAAAATGTATAAATACTATTTTTTTTTAAATCTATACTTTATTTGGTGCATTGTATATTAATTCTACAGCTTGACTAACACATTCCCTGTCATGCACACATCAGTTACAAGTCTACATTAAAGGAGCGTCTCAAGCACCATAGCTGTACAGCCTTCTGTAGTGGTCATGGTGCCAGTAGTAACCTGATGCCATCTCACGGCAAGGTGTCAAACCGTTTTAACATGGCCTGCCTGCGACCTCCTCCCCTGCATCCAGTCTTCTCTAGCAGGAGAATCCAGATTGCTCTATAAAGCAATCCAGGCATGACCTTGCTCACTGGCTGAGTGAAGGGGAAGACTGGATGTAGGGTATGTAGCCACATCCGGTGGGACCCAGGTAAATTGTCAGATTGTGCTAACATAGTTTGACATTTTACAGTGGAACCGAGCCAGGGCACACTGCAACCACTAGCAAGCTTTAAAGATATGATTATGAATTATGAATAAATAAGTAAGTATTAGGTTTTCATTAAGGTTTGAAATATTCAGGTTTGTTCATTTAAAATTATGCTCAATTCAGAGAGTCACTGCAATGTTGCACCTTACAATTATAGCTTTCTGAAGATTATTTTTTTAAATTAAGTTTGTTTGACTTTACATAGTGTGATTTGTCCTTGGCCAAGATTCTTGCGGATTACCCGGAGCCCGTATTTTATGATGTGTACCTTTCTCACCCAGGAAGTGATGGACACAGGCACATCTGGCCGGTTCCAGTCCTAAATCTAAACCTCCAGTATAATGAATTGTTTGTGAATCAAGGTAAACCTCCTGGAAATAGTTTATTTGAGACACCAAAAGCATTACGTAAAAATATTTATGAATATTGCTGAAATCACACAAAAATATGTATATGATCAAAAATGGTATAGTTGTTAAAGGACTAAAAAAAAAAATCCAATTTAAAGTGGCACTGTCACATTAGAGTTTTTCCTACAGGCTAAATCTTAATGAAAAACTCATCAAAACTGCACTGGAATTTCAAGTAGTCCAATTTTTATCATAATGTGGCAATGGACGGAGCTTTGTCCATAACATTCTGTTGTTTCCATAAACAGTTGCTTGTAAGGGATGCAGGGAACGGGCATCTTGTCCCACATTGTGCAGTAGAAGCCTTCAGAATCTTATGGTAGAGCAGCATGATATTATATAGAATATCCTGCGGTAATAACTACATTTAGTTTACTAGTTACTATATAAATACAACAATCCGTCACTTACACTTCTTTTCCATACATTTGTTTTTTTCTTAGATTTTGCATTATTATTTATTATTTTGTGTTATACTGGGTGCAGCAGTGATTGTAAACCAGTGTGCCATTGCACTCTACTATGCGGTTGTTATAGTTTGAATCCAGTCCTTTAAATTTGGCTAGTAATATTCATATCTCTCCAGTAAAGCTGTGAGTAAATGTGGCATTTATAAAGTCATGATAAAGTAGATATGTCTTGGAAATGTTTTCTCATTGAAATATGCCTTTTTTTTCCAACAAAGGTTGGAGTTCAATTTCCTGGTTGTTGGCTGATGAATCCTTAAAGTTATTTTTTGATATCTGTGATTTAAAAAAATAAATTTTCTCTTCATTTCCTAAAGCTAATCCATTACATGTTGTGAATTTGTAAAACATCTCCAAATATTAAGTTTTGTATTTCCTATTAATATTACTTAGGAAACAATATTAATAACTGGCTATTAACTCGTCGCATATTCCTGGTTGATACTCTAAGCGGGAGAGAAAATGCTCTGACTAACCTTCCAAGAGTCATTAGAATTGCTAGCAAAATCACAATAAGGTAATATAACTTTTTAAATTATTAATATTAGTTATACAAAATAGCATTATTAAATATTAGATGCCCTGCCACTAAGGGACATTTTGGGCACCATATCAACTTAATCACAATTAAGTTTTTATGGTGCATGTATGTCCCAGGCACCATCTTACCTTAAGAGATTAAAATGTTAATGAATGGTTTAATCCCAACCCTAAATTTATGAAGATGGCACCCAATCGCTCTGCCAAGCCTCTTCCTTCAGAGATGAAGCCTTGGACCTCTGAAGTATGTAGCTGGGCAGAGAGAACAGGTACAATCTTGCGCCATGTAAGGTTGCATACCCTGCCGCTACATCAGGTACTCCTACCTCCCAAGGTAGGCACCGTATCGGTTTCACACCCTCAGACACCTTTGCCAGTGTTTCTGACACAAGCACTGTAGCTGTACTGTGGCTTAAAGTCAGACTCCATGCCCTCTGAATCGGAGATCTGGGACTGTTACTTCCCGCTTCTCATACCAGTTCATACCGTGATGTCACGCATGCCTGCACAGTGTCATTCACAGCTTCTCATAGAAAATTCTAGTGTTCAATAATTCTGCATGAGAGGAATTTCATTAGTGGATGACTGCACAAGCCATGTATGCGCCTTGGGTCTACAATGCTTCTAAATGAGAAGCATCAGATTAGACCATTGTCTAGTGACCACATGACGTCAGAGGGGGCATAACAGAATAAAGTTAGGGCGTTCCTCAGTGCACTGGAAAAAAGGTAATTAGCTGTTTTATTTTAGACATTTGTCTTAAAGCAGTTGCCTTAATGCTCCAGTATACATTTGAGACAAAGGATTTATTTTAAAATTACTGTACTAACAAAATACAGTGTTCCTTTAAAGACACACTTTAGGCATCAAAACAATGTAAGTGCATTTTGATAAGTTTATCCTCATATTCATGCTTTATTTTTCTCCCTATTCATATCTAAGTTTTAGGGAAAAAAAGTTTTGCTGCTTTCTATAAAGTAGCTCTATAGCCATGCATCAATTTTTTACAAAAGTCTTCCTGATTGGATAGTACTTAGTGTAGCTCAGCCATTGACACATCATTGTGAGCTGAGGTGCTGACTTGACTCCGTCCCAAAGTTAATCACAGTCTTCCTATTATCTGTATAATAAATAAATGATCTGCAAAGAAGTCCTTGGGGGATGGGGTGAGATAAAAAGGAGAACAGTTATAGGGGGTGGTGTTATGTGAACATTTCAGCTCACAATGATCTCTCATTGGCTGAGCTGATTACTTATTCTGAGTACTTGCTACAAGGAAGATGTCTTTAGAAAAGATTAGACATGGCAAAGTGGGCAGGGTTATGCTACAGAAAGTTACAAATATATTCTTAATTTTTAGCAAAACGAAAGAGATTTGGATGCACTGAAGCTGTTTGGGTGCCTTTAATTTCTGCCTATTTATGTCTTGAAAATATATTTCAATATTCAGTGCATATATGTACAGTATCTCACAAAAGTGAGTACACCCCTCACATTTCTGTAAATATTTTATTATATCTTTTCATGTGACAACACTGAAGAAATTACACTCTGCTCTTTCACATGAAAAGATATAATAAATTATTTACAAAAATGTGAGGGTCTTTTGTGAGATACTGTATGTGTTATGCATGTATGTATATATATTTATATCATATCAGTGTTAATCATTGTAAATATGTCTATGCAGCATCTGTCTTGTGCCCAACACTTACAAAGGACTAATCTATCCACCTCTGATGACTGTTGAGTACACAGATGTACAAATTCAAAATCCAAACACCCAGACTGTAAAGGTAGGTTTGTTTATTTACAGCAATGTATGAACTATCATTGGGCTAGTGTCTCTAGTAAGAACCCACTTCTCACCCCTTCCCTTTACATTAGATACCCCCTCCCCCTTTACACTAGATTCCCCCCCTCTCCTCTATGTTAGAGATGCTTCCTTCCTGTCCATCCCCTCTACATTAGAGATCCCTCTTCCCCACTCCTCTTCTCCACATTAGATATCCCTCCTACCCTACCCTCTCCTCTATGTTAGAGATCCCGCTTTCTCACCCTCTTCTCTACCCTAGAGATCCCCACTTTACTTCCCGTTCACCATCTGCGTGAGAGACCCCCTTTCCTTCTATCCCCTCCCCTCCCCTTCCATCTCATTTTGCACCTCTTTTCTCTCCCATCCCAAATAAAGATCCCCATTCCCTTCCCTCCTCTGTCCTTTAGAGATCCCATCTTCATTCCCATCTTCTTTCCATTAGAAAGCCCACCTTCCATTCCCTCTTCTTCATTCAGAGTCCTTGTAAATTAGAGATTCCTTTGCCCCTTGCCTTACAGCCCCCTCAACATTAGAGATTCCCCCATTGCCCTCCTTTTACATTAGAAATCCTCACTCCACTCACCTCTCCGTTAGAGATCCCCTCCACCTATCTGCATTATGCAGATCCATCCATCCTTCTTTCTTCCCCACCCATGACTTCTGCCGCGGAGTTCCATTCCCCTCTCTTCTCGTCTTTTCTACAGCTGTACAAAGTATATTTAGATATATATCTATCTATATAGAGAGATTTATATATGTAACACTTAGACAAAGAATGATAAACAATCATTCTAAACAGGAATGAAGCAAACAATCTTTTTTGTTGTGAAATATCATATCATTTTTGATGATGTCTCAATTTTTCATTTCAGGTTTCATTTTCAGTAAATTATGAAATGAGACAATCTGATTCTCTCATTCAGACTAATGTAAGTTATATAATTAGGTCTGTGATCTGTTTGTATGATAGTATGATACTTACTAACATTCTCCTCATATTCCAGGTGGCAGTTGGAGTGCTAGGGGCGCTGGCAGTTCTTTGGTCAATTCTGAAAACTGCAGCTTGGAAAAGGAGAATAGGAAGCCCATTTGTAGATTTGACGGTAGGAAGAAAATCTTTTTCCTTTCTCTTCCATCTTTTATATACAAGAAACCTATTGTAAATAAGTATTTAGAAAGTTATTTAACATAAAGTTCACTTTCAAGTAGCTCTGTCACTTTCTGGGGTCTTTGCATATTTTATCGCTTTGTATGCTGCTGCCAGTTTGACCTGGCACATTCTCGTCAGCTCCTGGCGCTTCATCTACCAGGAACCGATGTGGGAACCTCCAGAAACAAAGCCTTTTCTCCCCTCGGCTGTCACTAGTGATGGTTGAGGGCTTGGTAAAGCTTGACAAAGGTAGCGCTGCCTTTTGTCAAGTGTAGTAAAAAGAAATAAGACAAAGTTTTCTTTGTAGACATAATACCAGTTGTGAGGGTGTCCGGACTTATTTATCTATTTATAAAATATTTTACCAGGATGGATACATTGAGATTTCTCTCGTTTTCCAGTATGTCCTGGGTTCACAAAACATTGCATTGTTACACTACAGAATTCCTCTGAGAACTAAGAGGCAAACAATGACCAGAAACCATCCGAAAGACAGGTACTAGAAATGTGCCATACTGTTAAACTAACTAGGTCAGCGATTCCAAATCTTAGAATAAACAAGAAACTATCCGTGTCAAACAAAATAAAAGCAAGCAGTCAGAAACAGTTCGTTGCTAAAAACTGAATCCTGGATATACACCCAAGGAAATATTTAAGGTCTATACCTCATCTTGTCCTGCACCAGTTTGTATTTTTATTGTTTTCAACTTTAAACTAATTATATTGGCAGTTATTAAATGCTCTGCAATCAGTGTTTGTGAATTGTCTGACGCCATCAATCTCTCCAACAGTAATCTCTAACCAGCAGTTTCAGTTTAGATTCAGTCTAACCTGCTGGCCTTAAACAGGTGATTAAGCTGTTGCATATAAATTCAACTTTGACTGAAAAGAACTGTTTATGCTACACTCCTTTGTTCAGATCTTCTGCAAAATATTAACTTGTAATATTTAATTTACAGACTGTCATCCACTTCTTGATATTTTACGCCGGAGCCTTGGCTAACGTATTTATTGCTGTGACAGTTGGTTCTGCGTTTTATTGGCTTATCTTATTCAAAGTAAGTGCACATCAATTTTTGTACTAATTTAACACATTTCCTCTATTTTTATTTTAAAATAAGTTATTTTCATGTGATTTGAGCTTCATAAATCATTGGGTGAGGAGATATAACATAAAAAATACATGAAAATTGTAAATTTAGAATTTGCTAAATATCGAATGCCAAGAAAACAAATGGGTTTGGTAAACATGTTTTCTAAAGAAAATGCATAAAGGTGCATAAAGGTGCAACATATTTCTAACCTGCACATGTGCAAATAAATTTTGTCAGCTGGCTAAAACGATGCAATAACATAGGTAGGCAATGTAATAGAGCAGCAAGAAATGCTAGCAGAATGCTTGGTTGTATAGGGAGAGGAATTAGCAGTAGAAAGAAGGAAGTGCTCATGCCATTGTACAGAACACTGGTAAGACCTCACTTGGAGTATTGTACGCAGTACTGGAGACCGGATCTCCAAAAGGATATTGATACTTTAGAGAGAGTTCAGAGGAGGGTTACTAAACTGGTTCATGGATTGTGGGATAAAACTTAGCAGGAAAGGTTAAAGGATCTTAACATGTATAACTTGGAAAAAAGACGAGACGGGGGGGATATGATAGAAACATTTAAATACATAAAGGGAATCAACACAGTAAAGGAGGAGACTATATTTAAAAGAAGAAAAACTACCACAACTAGAGGACATAGTCTTAAATTAGAGGGGCAAAGGCTTAAAAATAATATCAGGAAGTATTACTTTACTGAGAGGGTAGTGGATGCCTGGAATAGCCTTCCAGCTGAAGTGGTAGAGGTTAACACAGTAAAGGAGTTTAAGCATGCGTGGGATAGGCATAAGGCTATCCTAACTATAAGATAAGGCTAGGGACTAATGAAAGTATTTCGAAAATTGGGCAGACTAGATGGTTCTTATCTGCCGTCATATTCTATGCTTCTATCATGCCAAGAGCCCCACCATTATACTTTATTTTAACCATTAAAGCCATAGATTAAAAAACAAATATTATAGTAGAGCTCCTGTTAGATTTTGTTATCTAGCTGCCATATTGCTCTGTGTGGATAACCAGAGATAAGCGTCTTTCCTTTCACTATATTTTTATCAGTAGATGCAGCTCTGCTCTGACACAGTATATGGTGTCTCTATGTATGTGGGAACCTCCATATAAGCCATAAATGTAATATCATGAAAACAAATTTAATGTTTGACATTTAACAAAACATCAGTGGGCATATCCACTAACTAATAATTTTGGAGAATAAGTGCTTTACAATAATGACTTATTCCCAAAGGAATATATAAAAAGTGAACCCCTAAGGTGTTTAGGTAGATCAGATGCAAGGCTACAGTGTGTAGTTATTGGGTATTTATGAATGTTATCAAAACATTCAGGGTATGTTTCCCGAGAAAATACCCTCAAAATTAAATAATAACCATTTATGTCTGGTGGTCTCACAAAGCCACACTTTAGCACAAACATGACAAGAAAAGATTATTCTGTACAGAGGTGGGGGGACGGATCCAGATCTCTAGCAAGACAGACACACATTGAGGATGCTCCGCATTGCTATGCTGTTTTCAGCTGTCCTAGAGTGGACATCGCTTTCCCATTGTCTCGGTTCGGGTCTCTAATTGACAAGTGATAGATGGGGAAAAAGTCGAAGAAGCATCAGGGTGACCCGGGCTCTGGGTCCCATGATATTCTGACTCTTTTGAGACAGTTTACAAGGTACATGAATATTAAGATGGAGACCTACTCATCAGTTTCCATGGATGATGGCTAAATGTTTTCCACCACTCAGGAAACCTAAATATCAAATAATTACGTGAATGTAAGGAAAAAAAACATATGTCTCTGTACTTCCACCTTGCGGCGGCTTCACCATCCTATGATGCTTTAGTCGTTCACATGTGGGCTTAGGCATTATTATTATTATTATTATCACTATTTATATAGCGCCAACAGATTCCGTAGCGCTTTACAATATTATGAGAGGGGGGATTTAACTTTAAATAGGACAATTACAAGAAAACTTACAGGAACGATAGGTTGAGGAGGACCCTGCTCAAACAAGCTTACATTCTATAGGAGTTGTATAAAACACAATAGGACAGGAAATAGCAATCAAATAAGGTGGGAATGAAGCAGAGCAGGAGGAGAAAGTAGAGTGCTGCCCTTTAGAAGAGAGCAAGAGACAGTTGTGTAAGGTAGAGGTTACTCTGGGAGGCCATAAGCTTTCCTAAAGAGATGGTTTTAAGACACTTCTTAAACGGTTGAAGACTAGGGGAGAGTCTGATGGCGGTAGGCAGGCTATTCTGTAGGAAGGGAGCCGTCCGCGAGAAGTACTGCAAGCGTGAGTTGGCTGTACGGGTGTGAACAACGGACAGGAGAAGGTCACAGGCAGAGCGGAGAGACCGAGAAAGGACATACCTATGGATCTGTGAGGAGATATAAGAGGGGCTAGAATTGTTCAGTGCTTTATATGTGTGAATTAGTACCTTGAATTGACTCCTATAGGATACAGGAAGCCAATGTAAGGACTGACAGAGGGGTGAGGTGTGAGAGAACCGACTAGAGAGGAAAATCAGTCTGGCGGCAGCATTCATTACTGACTGTAGTGGTGCAATACGGCTTTTAGGAAGACCAATTAGGAGAGGGTTACAATAATTCATGCGTGAAGTTACTAGAGCATGGAAAAGTTCCTTGGTAGCATCTTGCGTAAGAAAGGGCGGATGCGGGCTTTGTTTTTAAGTTGGAATCTACAGGATTTGGCAACATGCTGGATGTGCGACTCAAAGGTGAGGCCAGAATCAAGTATGATGCCAAGACAGCGTGCTTGCAAGGATGGACATATGTGGATACCACTAACTTGAAGGGATTTTAAGGAGAAATTCAATATATCTGCACGTACACTCTGAATTTTCTCCAATAGTACTAAATGCACACATGCACCGTGCATTTGGCAATAATTAAGTTAAATAGCTTGCCTGGCAACTTATGTAAGTAGAAATAAGATAGAAATAAAAAAATTTAAAAAAGAAAAGAAATAAATAGCACAAGCAGTAGGTACCCTTTGTTAGAGCTAAAATCAGTTGTTCCTCTTTAAAGAATGATTCATGTTTGTTAATTATTCTTTATTGTTATTTATAAAGCGCCAACAAATTCCCAGTGCTGTACAATAGGCCGACTAACAGACAAGTGTTTGCAACAAGACAAGGTTTTCCAATGAGCTTACATTCTGGAGATTGGTGATATTCATTGAAATTGTCTTGTTTACTCCACAGGGGCAGCAGTATGTCTCTGTTTTCCTGCCTTTACCAGTGGAGGAAGAAAACTTTGTTACTTATGTAGGTTGTGCTTTTGGTCTAAAGGTGCGTATTGATTTCTATATATCTTCTAGTTGTAAATGTTTGACGGTAATTACATTGTTATTAAATCATACTTGTAAAATATCTTGCTTTATATACTTGTTTATTAGGTAGTTAACATTAGGGGACTATTTACTCCTTTTGTTAAATCTACTAGCACAAATATTTCTCCCTCTCTAATTTCCTTTTTAATTGATTGTATAACATTATATAGTTTTAAGTAGGCCCAAAACCACCACACAAATAAATAAATAAATTGTGGGTGGTAAAGTATACAGTGATTCCTGGACTAGACTAAAGGTAGCTCAATATGCAAGACTTTGCATTGATTTCCCTTATGATAGCTTTAAAACCTTAACCCCCAAATTGCTTTTTTTTTATCACAACTGTCTAACTTATTTACTCTTTACATTCCGTGACGTAGCCTTGACGCAATGTACTATGGAGTATGGTGCACAGTGTCTCCAGAATTCTTTGTCTTTGAGCAGAATCAGTGGTGCTGCACTGTACCTGTCTCTAGTCTAGACTAGCACATTAAAGGGCCACTATAGTGCCAGGAAAACATACTCATTTTCCTGGCACTATAGTGCCCTGAGGGTGCCCCCACCCTCAGGGTCCCCCTCCCGCCCGGCTCTGGAAAGGGGAAAAGGGGTTAAACTTACCTTTTTCCAGCGCTGGCGGAGAGCTCCCTCCCTCTCCCCCGGCCCACAGTTGAAGACGCAAGCAAAGAGCTGCGCACCGATTCGGTCAAGCATTTACAATGCTTTCCTATGGACGCTTGCGTGCTCTCACTGTGAAAATCACAGTGAGAAGCACGCAAGCGCCTCTAGTGGCTGTCAATGAGACAGCCACTAGAGGGAATGGGGGAAGGCTTAACCCATTGATAAACATAGCAGTTTCTCTGAAACTTCTATGTTTATGAAAAAATGGGTTAACCCTAGAAGGACCTGGCACCCAGACCACTTCATTAAGCTGAAGTGGTCTGGGTGCCTAGAGTGGTCCTTTAATGCCTATCTATGGAGGAAATATTAATTATCATATTCTGCATTTGTCTTTTATTAATTCTAGGCTCTGCATTTTCTATACAAACTTGTCTCACAGCTCTCAATAGACATCTTCTTTATTGATTGGGAAAGACCTAAAGGCAAAACTATAAAATCTGATGGTGAGATTATGTATTTATTATTGTTTATTTGTTTATATTTACTACATGCAGTTTAAGTTTGTTTTATCTAGTTATTTTTTATATTTCACGCCTCTAACATTTGTCATTTAGACAGCTACTAAAGGCTTAAGGCTAAAAGAGATTTTTTTTTATTGAACCTATTTTTTTTATTTTTATTATTATTATTGAGATTAAGTGAACAATTACGCATTCTGATATGTTACGGCTTAAGACAAAAGACAATGCATGATACATTACAGAGTAAAAAGGTGAACAGTAGAACGTGTGTCAAGTGTACATATATAGCATATGGATCTGTTAAGTTACAGTTTATAGGTGGTTACAGAGTCGGTGGCGCCTCTGCTCGGATCGCCTTGTGTTACATGGCCCTCGGTGACTTGAGTTGTTGGACACCGTTTAACGTCACTAGTGTGAGGGTCGTCTCTGGTGGTGGGTACACACGCTGTAGGTAGGTAGCCTGCCGCTGGAGGTAAATAGGCAACATTATCTGTTTTATTGAACCTATTTTATGTCCAGCAGCAGCAAGCAAAATATGCTTACGTTGGTGTGCATTTGAGAAGGGAAAAATTGGAAACATTTTCCATGTCAAATGCTTCTCATAGAGAAGCACTGGATTGGCAGATTGTAGTGATAGCCATGCATGTACCAAATGTCCACAATGCTTCTCTGTGAAAACCGTTTGATTGGAAAACAGCCATCAGTGTAACTTCACAGAAGTAGGATCAGGCTGCTGTGAGATGTCAGTCTCGATGGTGGCTGGATTACAGGTAATCTTAATGGACCAAACTTCTGGAATAAAAGGGAATCATGACATGTCAGACATGTCATGTGTCCTTAAGGGGTTAAAAGGATTAAAGAAAATAAGTCCAGTAGGCTAAACGGATAAAGCTACATAGATATAAAAAATAATTTCTTTATTATCCTGTTTCTTTAAGAAGGAACATAATAAAAAAAAAATATAGAACAGCATTAACAAATATCCCTTAATAAGTGGAAAGATTGTATGGATCCCATCGGTCCAATTTCAGACTTTAAAAATCCTTTGGTGAAGAGGATGTCCGCTTTAGGTGGCAGGTGTTTGGGGGTGCACAGAGAAACCCCCTTCCTCCAGAGCAAGCTCCTGCCTATCATCACGTTGCTTACATGGGTGCCGCATGGCAGGTGCCTGTTATGTTGCTTTGCTGTCACTACTTGCAGTGCGGATGGCAGTGTGGCTTCCGGGATCTCACTGTACTAATTTCCCAGCTTCCTTGCATGCACTGCACTGTGGCTGGAGCCAGAATATGATGTCACCCCAGCACTGGCATTAGTACAGAGAGGCAGGGAGCTGGACTATCAGCACAGAGACTGATTTCAGGAGCTCCCCACTGGACCCCAGGGATGAAGTTCCACTATAGCTTCCTTCAAAGATAAGAAAATCGAAGCTGGGTGGCTTTCACTGTTAAATTATAAATAAACTAACAGTAAATAAATAATACAATTAAGTGTGTGTATATGAGTATGTGTTCATGAATGTGTGTATATAAGCCTGTGTGTGAGTATATGAATGTGTGTGTTTGTATATATGAATATCTGTGTGAATATGAATGAGTATGTAATACATATTAGTACATAACAAAAGGGGGTACTGGGGTGGTATAGAAGGAGAACAAAATTGTATTATTTTTGTTTGTTTTTACATTTTGTGGGGTGCTGGGTGCCATGTAACCAATGTACTTTCCTGTCACACAGCATGTGACAGCTCACTATCAACCTGGCTTTAATGACCAGTACCAGGGATTGATACAATGTGGTGCATTGACTTTACACTGAGGCAGCGGGCAGTATGAGTATGAGCGGAACCAATATCCATAGGTGAACCCAATAGTACTATAGCTGGGATTTAGTCCACTTATTAAAAGGAGCAACTGCATTCATGATTCAGAAACAGATTGAAAACACATTAGGCACACAGGATCAGGCAGTACCAAGACCCATAAACTTTATGTAACCTTATTCTAAAATGACTCATTAGATGCCTCCATGTGCACACCTACCATCCCCCACTTCATACTTACACAGGTATGTGCAGGCAACCAATTGCCAACTGTTTGTTTGTTTGTTTGTTTGTTTGTTTTAGTTATTGGCTTTTTGGGTATAGAATGGTTTTGGTGAGAAAGCTTTCCAAAATACAATGTCTCTTCATGCATTATACTCTGATATCCAGACATCCACAGTGACTAAATAACAGCCAGCAGTGAAGGATCAGGTCATTCACCAGACTAAACAAAATATGAATGCTGTTAAATCATTCCGGCTTATATAAGGCAGAGTGACATTTCATTTATAAATAACATACATTCAACCTATATATCTCTTGGTTTTATTGTTTTTTGCTAACCTTACCATTATTCATCTCATTTTGAAATGTATTGCATGTTTAACATCAATGGCAAATTAAAATGAAAAAAATGACTACTGGAACATTATTATTTATTGTCTGCGTTTTTGTTTAATGCTCATGATAATGGAAAATCTCTGAATTAACCTCATTCTTTAATAATTTATCTAAAAAAAACACGGGAAAGTTAATGCTGACATGTTCAGCATGCGGTATGGGGGACACTTTATAGGTTTTATAGAGAATTGACAGATTCATTGCAAAATTTAAACTAAAATAACCCAACTGACGATAGCCAAGTTGGACTTTTTTTTTTCTGATGAACTATCTTCGCTTTAATTTGTCATTTGGGTTTCAATTTACTCTGATTCAGGTTCAGTGAATAAATTCCAGAGCGTTTTGGGTGACAAGAGGGAGACACAGGAAACAAAATGAGATGGGTTTTATGTCATATTTCGTATATAAAGAGAGACTGAAAAATAATGGGTCCGTTTCTGCTATAGGTAGAAAATTAGACTTTAGGAAAGATAAAATGTAAATTGGTTTGTAGAAATTAAGTGGATACCATTAACATAACGGGGAGCAATGTTTGGGCTGAGAACTGGGAAAATTTGATGCTGTCTGCATATGGGATATATGATTATTCTATATTTGATTAATGGTTGCAGATTTCTGTAGACTTGTATGCTAAGATATTCCTTTTTCTAATGTCTTTGAAGATGGCCTGAAGAGCGATCTCGCACCTGTGAGCATTTGGAGGACTTACTTTGTGGCAAATGAATGGAACGAAATTCAGACTGTGCGAAAAACCAATCCGCTCTTTCAAGTCATCGCTGTACTATTCTTCTTAGAGGTCATATTTCTTACCTTCTTATCACGTTATTTAATTCAAGACAGGTCCATCCAGTACTCTGAAGAATCATCTATCGTTATCCTAATAATAAGAAAGATGGCTTACTCTCTTATTGATATTTATTTTATTAAAAAAACATAAAAGCTACACATGCATTTAACGTTAAGGGACACTATAGGCACCCAGAACACATCATCTCATTGAAGTGGTCTGTGTGCAGCATCCCTGTTTCCTTAACCCTGCAATGTAAAACATGCTTACATTCCTGTGTTAAGACCGCATCTACTGACTGTCTACCAGACATCCACTAGAGACGCTTCCTGCAGTTTCACAGAGTTTTACTCCATGAAACAATGCAGGATGTCCTCACGCTTTGTATGAGTACACCCAGCGTCTTGCAAACCCCCATAGGAAAGCATTGATTCATTGCTTTCCTATGGGGAATGCCTAATGCGCAGTGCTTGCCACGCATTAGGTTACCCCATCGGCTGACATTGGAGGAAGAGAAGCCTAATCCGGCACCGAGAGACCTCAGTCTCAGGTAAGTTTTTAAAGTATTTAACCCATTACATGCCTGGGAGAAAGGGTCAGGGAGGCAGATGGACTCTATAATGTTTGGAATTCCTTTGTATTCCTAACATTATAGTGTTCCTTTAATCTCAATAATCAAAGATAATAAGACATAAACCTTTAGTGGTGAATTCTTATAATGCTACGCTGTGGAATGTATAATTTACTCTAAGGAAAGTTGCAATAGGCAAATTGATTGATATATTGATATACTTAAAGTTTGATGTGTGATTACACCCATTTCTGGGCACTCTCAGTGTTAAGTGCAACCGCGCAATGCTTAGCATAAAAATGCTGGTCATAGTGTGGTCCATTTACTAAACAGTGACTTGTGATGAATTGACTTCCAACCTGCAAAATGTAAAAAAATCTATAACACTACCATTGTAGCACACATTTTACACTCTGGTTGTCCATTTGCCAAAATTCATAGTATACTGTATAAAACGATGCTGTGTCCTCTTATTGTTGATTTGTAGAATATGTGGCACACACCATGTAAGCACATTCTAAAATGTTTATTCACTTCTCAGATCGCTGGTTTTAAAAACCTAGCATTAATGGACCCCTCATCTAGTCTCTTAAAAAGTGCGGATGATTACATAGCACCATGGAGTCAGACACTAAGATATGGAGTGATTACCGCACTCTGGCTCGCCATTGGATTATTGCAGGTACTGTGTGCTTTGTTCAAATATTGGAATGATTTTTTCCCAGCACTATCTAATTAGTTCTTACTATATTAAAATGTTTCTCAAAAGACCTGACACTCTTTAGCATTTCCATAAGACATTTTGTTTGCTTTTTTTCAGGCTTTGTTCTTCTCTGTAGTTTATGAAAGATTTGTAGAAGACAAAATCAGACAGTTTGTTGATTTATGTTCCATGAGCAATGTAAGTACATTTGACAATGTGTGTGTCTCAACCTTAACCCATACAAAATGACTGAGCCTACCAATTGCTGCCTATGCCATCAAATACAATCTACTATCCTCATATATAAAGTTATCAAAGATTCTGCTCCTAATCCATTTCTCACCTTACACCTCTTTTGGCATGAGCCATATACCCTCCCTAAGTAGACCCTTCAATTATTATAGTTACATAAACGGACTCTCTGTGGGGCCACATGGGCATTAACTACTGTTTAATGTCTAGGTCAGAAACCGCCAATCCTTAACTTTCTTACTACTGTTGGCTGAATATCGTGGGGATTATAGTCCAACATTAGATGGATAGTTGTATAGTTACTAGTGAGCTATCTGTATCTATCGTAACTCATATAACAAATTAAAGGAACTCTGCAGAGCTAGGAATACAAACCTGTATTTCTAAAGCTATATTGTCCCTGTCCCTAACTAGTTTATTACCTCCCACCCCTCCCCCCCCTGTTCATCATAGATAATATAAAAATCTGAAGGGTTATAATTAAAGGACCATTGCATCCAGACCCCTTCATTGAGATAAAGTAGACTGGGTGACTTTAATGATCCTTTAACAATATGTACTGCAAAATGTCTGAAAGGCTCATATCAAGTAAGCCCTACATTATATTAGAAAACACTTGCGCAAATTTCTGTTTCCAAGCTACATATTAATGTCTGTGTGACCGATTTTCAGGATACTCGTTAGTTCTAAGATACGTTTATGCAATCTGCATTGCAATCTGCCTCTTCTACTTATTACACAGTCACATGTTAATTTGCAGTCCTCTCTAACGCTTTGGAACATTTACAACCTGATCAGCAGTTTGAGATATTTTCCCATAGATATTGGAAAGGATATGCAGGATATAGATTTAGTTTAATAAATATTTAACCCCTTAAAGGACCACTATAGTGCCAGGAAAACAAACTTGTTTTCCTGGCACTATAGGGTCTTTGGGTCGTCGTCCCCCACCCTCAGGATCCCGCTCCCGCTGGGCTGGAGGGGGAGGAAGGGGTTAAATTCGTACCTTTCTCCAGCACCAGGCTCCCTCGACGCTGGGGACTCTCCTCCCTCTTCCGCCGAATGCACATGCGTGGCAAGAGCCGCGCACCCATTCAATCAGTCCATAGGAAAGCATTACTCAATGCTTTCCTATGGACGTTGGCATCTTCTCACTGTGAAAAGCGCCTCTAGCGGCTGTCAATGAGACAGCCACTAAAGGCTGGATTAACCCTAATGTAAGCATAGCAGTTTCTCTGAAACTTGAGTTCATTGAGTGGTCCTTTAAGGACACATGATGGAAATATTCCTTCACAATTCCCTTTTATTCCAGAAGTTGTGTCCTTAAGGGGTTAAATGCTAAAGGCACAGCTTTGTGCATATATACATCTTCCCCTAACCTTTTGTGTTTCTTCCTGTTTGTAGATATCTGTCTTCATATTGTCACACAGATGTTATGGATATTATATTCATGGTCGCTCTGTGCACGGCCACGCAGATACCAACATGGAAGAAATTAATATGAATTTAAAGAGAGAAGCGGTGAGATGTACATTGCTTTTATTTGATCCTTTTCCTGTTCTCTTTTCTTTTCTACATTTTTTATTGATAAATTATACTACTCTTACACGTGGTCATAAAGTAATGGCTATGTATATAATGGACACAGGGCAAGCTCCTGCAAAAACTTTAACTGTTTCAGGTATAAAACCATTTTTCATAATGTGGATTCCTATAACTAAATAACAGTGTAGGCATTTATTGTTTTCCAAGTGGACTAGAATACCAAACTGTTTACGTAATTGGATACTATAAGCTCAAAACATCTACAGCTTATTGTAATGGTTATTGGAAATGCAGTCTTTGGCTGCAGTCTACCAGTTTTTGTGAAATTGTTTTTGAGCAGTTTGACAAAAATCTGTGAATTCAAGGTGAATTTCAAATTAAAGGCCAAAGTAGCTGAACACAGAGAATATCATTGCCATGCAGATTTGGGCGCTTCATGTTTCCCTGTTGAAGCTGGTGATTTCGATCATCTCCTGGTTTATGCTTAGTTTCCTTTGAAACTTTAATTCTATGTGGGTTGATTTGATTGGCCCCCTATTTTCTTAAAGCTTTAATGCCATTTCCGGGCGAGCAACACCCCCCCCCCCTTTGTTAATTGCCACTATCACTATTATCCATAAGAAAGGGTATTACCAAACTGATAGTGGAAGCTGCCGCCCAATCTTCCTCCTCAATGAGGACTTAAAATTATTTGCAAAAATCCTGACTACTCAATTAAAGCCTCATATCCCAACTCAGACCAGTTATGATTTTTGCATGGAATGAAAGCTTGCTGCAATACGATGAGGGCAGTGGGCCTGCTTCCGGGGTTGGTCCCTGGGACTCCCTTATCACTCTTACTCTCTACTGACACAGATAAAGCATCTGACAGAGTGGATTGGGGCTACCTCAGGGAGTCCTCCTAAATAAGCAGCTTGGGCCCATCTATAAGAAATTGTCCTGATATGGCATACCTCAGACATCATTCAAAGTAAAGGGATATCACTCTGCCCCATTCTCCCTCTGGATACAGACCTGCCCCATGTCACCCTTGCTGTTCATCTTGGTGTTTGAGCCTTTTCTTAATGCAAACAAGTCCAGCGAGAGCTTCAGGGGTTCTGCACAGGCGGTGTCTAAAATAAGGTGGCTGCCTTTGTGGACGATATATTGTTTTTTTTAATCGAAGGCCCTCATCCACCCTGCCAGCCCTTATCTCTGCTGTCCTTGAACTTATGGTTAAACAGAGAATGAGGGAAAATTGCTAACATACAAACATCACATTTTTTTCTGTTATGCACACACTATACTATAGAAGTATAGTCTTACAGACACCTTTATTTTAGCATAATTGATCTTTAATTTCTATTTTTATTGCTAGAGAAAGACGAACACATTCTAACAAAAACTATCTGATTGGAATTATGGGGTCAAGGAGGATTTTTTTTCTCCTTTTTGTGGCATAATTGGAAATGGCTAAAAAATTGCCTTCTTTTGGATCAACACCATAAATCAAGGTTGAACTCGATGGACTTTGGGCTTTTTTTTAACCTAGATAACTGTAACTATGCAACTAAATGTACGTCTACATGTATTCACGTTAATCTTTAATTTACCAATGTGCCCATAATTATAATAAGGTTATTAATATGTCATTCTGTGGATTTGCAGGAGAATATGTGCAGTCAACGAGGTTTGCAACCCAATAATGATATCCAGACGTTCCAGATTTCAATTTGTAACAGAATGAGAATACAGTTCGACCGCGTGCATGCCAATATAACAAAGGTAGTATTACAGAGATATGGATACAAACAGAAAAATATCTTAATGGTACTGACGTAATCTGACAGGGAAATTAATTTAATACATTTATTGTTTTGCTCTGTTTTATGTTTTTCTTTAGTGAACCTGTCATGGCAGGTTCGCTTCAACATAAATCCACCCAAATGCATTGAATACCTGATATATCACAGAAAACCATACTACATTTATTGTAAAATTCTAAGATACTAACTCAACTCTCCTCTGATCCAGCATCACCATGTCCTCACGTTCATGGGTGTTTCACTTCTGTAACACGGACTTCCTATCCGACTGCACTCCATCCACTCTTTTCTTTCTTGCACTCTCATTATCCTCTCATTTCCCTGCTTGATGACGTTTGAAAGAGTAAGCCTCTTTCATGACGCTGAAATGCTGGCTTTCATTACCAGTGTGCCATCATCTGATGAGAGTAACGTCAGCTACTCCATTCATTTACTCACTAGCCAGCGCTAGCAGTGTAGGCTAGGGAGATACATAGCAACCACAGAGCATGTGAGGTTACTTATATGCTTGGAGAACAGCGGGACCACCTATGGGATGTTTCTTCTGCTCTCCTTGTCACTCAATTCCTAAGAACAGGAATCTATGCCAAAGAATTGATTGACAGATGTGTGAAAGACCTTTTTTTTAAAGAGTATTTGTTTCAATCTATACATTTGCTAGCAATGTATAGATAGCATTAAGAGCTTTCTCATTTGAGCCATAGTTAATACCATAGTACCACGACAATTACACTTTGATAAATATATAATTATTATTAATTTTTTTTTTTAGAAGCTAATTTTATTTATGGTTACATTTTTATAAATTTAAAATCTATGTATACCCAAACAAAGGAGAAAACAAAGTATTCATGACAAGAACTGTTTTGTTCAAGAGCATCCTTAACATCATTTTTTTAAAGGATACTGAAAGCTCTCTTTTCAAGACATACATAAATGTATAGTTAATACAAAGAGAAAGTTATCTGCGCTCTGGCCCAAATCCCCATGTACATTTAAACAAAATGGAGGCTCTTTAGTTTTATTCCAATGGCCATTTGAATAAATAAGCTCACCTGCCACATCAAGGCAAGCCTCAATAGGTGAGTTCCTACACTAGCCATTAGATTTGCTGATATCAGCCAAGAATCTCCAGAAAGACAGGAAGGGGTATTTTATAAACCCTTTCACATTTAACCCTTTATAGGGCTTCTACACATACAATAAACTTTGCAAGTATCAGACAAAGGTAAATGTCTCTAATGAGACAAGAAGGGGTGTTTTATAAACCCCTACATACTTATTATTCAAAGCTGAAAAATATAAAAACAAATTATGTTGGGTATCCAGGTTTAACAGTAATAAACCTAAAGTTTCTAAACAAAAGTATATATTTTCCAATACATACACCACAAATTATTTAGTTGGCGTCTTTAGTTTTGAAAGATGGAAACATGATGCTTGGCTTATGTCTCACTTTTTGGCGGGTGAGTAGGCCACTGCTTTAAATTTCTATCATAGCGGGGTTTTTTTTTTTTTTTAATGGGGTATGTTCCAGATTTACCCTTATATTTCACTAAATCAAGAAGAGAGATTTTGAACCCTTAAAAAACAAGCTAACTCTTTGTTCACTGTGTTATACAGACCAATTGGTTGACTTGTTTTTTTTCCATATGTTTTTTTTGTGGAAATAGCATTAGGGGAAGCGGTATAGGCTCCTTATTATAATGTAAGCCTTCCTGCTCACTCACGATCGCTGCAAGTGAGCAGAGAGTCTGGGGAGCAGACTGTGTGTGCCTGTAAGCATTTCTTGACATATCTTTGATGTCTTCAGCTACTCCTAGAATCTGTGTCTGATTAATTAGAATAACCTAAATCTGTATTTAGACATTCCAAAAACAAATGATATGTGAAAATGAGATGCATTTAAAAATGTTGTTTTTCTGTTTTGTTAAAAAGGATATATACAGGGCTATAAAACGAATGTAAAAGTAATTGCTTACTCATCCACCGTAATATATATATAGCCCTTTCCATAATTATGTCGTTAGTTCTTCAGTACACATTAATAATAACTTGGGATGTCACAAAATAGCCTGATAGTGGTTAATACTAAGGATTCTGGCAAGCAAGCACATAAAATGTTCTAATGCATGGATTCTTTCACCAGAGGTCATCAGACGCACCCATAATATGACATGTAGTGACTTTATATATTAAATTGTACTGTTTTCAAAGTTTAACAAAAGTTTTAGTCGAGCCTTAATTAGAGGGTGAACAATCTAGTGGTAGTAGGAGAAAATGGGGGGTAACCCCTAATATATATATCTCAAACAGCAAAAAAATTGGAAATAAAACAAAAAGAAAAAATTGTAGTAACAAAAACTTCCTGGCAAAACGCGCGCATCAGGGGCTCAGGACATCTAATCGGTAATTGCCAAGATCTGCACTGACAGAATACTAATCTAGTGTATAGACGTCCTGCACATTTTTAGGGATATAGCAGTCCAAAGATCGACTATTTACCTTTACTTATTACTAATTTGAAGTGGTGGGAATAAGACAGAATAGACAGGTTTTTTATTAAGGGGTGCCCTCAAAGGCACATGAGATAAGAATCTTTTACCTTGAAGGTTCCCTCCAAAGAACTATAGACCAGCTATATTAGCTTACTGATTTTAGTACCCTTGTGTTGCTTCTTACAATGTTAACTATACAATAGGAGCTCAGAAATACAGCAGGTCTGTTCTAAAGAATAAAACCAGTTTTTTCTTTTACTGATACATTTTTCTGATCTGTCTGCACTATTCTATGTAAGAGATTCAGGTCTATTTAGAACCAACCTGACAAGATATTTTATAAATCAAAGACTGCTACTTTGTAACGATTGTATACACAGCACGAGAAATGTATCTTTATTAACAGCACAGAGAAAAGTCTATCTGCCCTTGTGTAACTGCTAAACAAAACAATTTGAGCATTGCATCCTAAGTTAGTAATAACTCAGTAATAATTGTAACTGCTTTATATGACTAAAGGAGGCACCTCAGGACTGATTATCTCCTTTAATCATTTTGATTGATATTGGCTAAATACAGTTAGGTCCATAAATATTGGGACATCGACACAATTCTAATCTTTTTGGCTCTATACACCAACACAATGGGTTTGAAATGAAACAAACAAGATGTGCTTTAACTGCAGACTTATAGCTTTAACATGAGGGTATTTACATCCAAATCAGGTGAACGGTGTAGGAATTACAACAGTTTGTATATGTGCCTCCCACTTTTTAAGGGACCAAAAGTAATGGGACAGATTAACAGTCATAAATCAAACTTTCACTCTTTAATACATGGTTGCAAATCCTTTGCAGTCAATTACAGCCTGAAGTCTGGAACGCATAGACATCACCAGATGCTGGGTTTCATCCCTGGTGATGCTCTGCCAGGCCTCTACTGCAACTGTCTTCAGTTCCTGCTTGTTCTTGGGGCATTTTCCCTTCAGTTTTGTCTTCATCAAGTGAAATGCATGCTCAATCGGATTCAGGTCAGGTGATTGACTTGGCCATTGCATAACATTCCACTTCTTTCCCTTAAAAAACTCTTTGGTTGCTTTTGCAGTATGCTTCGGGTCATTGTCCATCTGCACTGTGAAGCGCCGTCCAATGAGTTCTGAAGCATTTGGCTGAATATGAGCAGATAATATTGCCCGAAACACTTCAGAATTCATCCTGCTGCTTTTGTCAGCAGTCACATCATCAATAAATACAAGAGAACCAGTTCCATTGGCAGCCATACATGCCAACGCCATGACACTACCACAACCATGCTTCACTGATGAGGTGGTATGCTTTGGATCATGAGCAGTTCCTTTCCTTCTCCATACTCTTCTCTTCCCATCACTCTGGTACAAGTTGATCTTGGTCTCATCTGTCCACAGGATATTGTTCCAGAACTGTGAAGGCTTTTTTAGATGTTGTTTGGCAAACTCTAATCTGGCCTGTTTTTGAGGCTCACCAATGGTTTACATCTTGTGGTGAACCCTCTGTATTCACTCTGGTGAAGTCTTCTCTTGATTGTTGACTTTAACACACATACACCTACCTCCTGGAGAGTGTTCTTGATCTGGCCAACTGTTGTGAAGGGTGTTTTCTTCACCAGGGAAAGAATTCTTCGGTCATCCACCACAGTTGTTTTTCCATGGTCTTACGGGTCTTTTGGTGTTGCTGAGCTCACCGGTGCGTTCTTTCTTTTTAAGGATGTTCCAAACAGTTGATTTGGCAACACCTAATGTTTTTGCTATCTCTCTGATGGGTTTGTTTTGTTTTTTTCAGCCTAATGATGGCTTGCTTCACTGATAGTGAAAGCTCTTTGGATCTCATATTGAGAGTTGACAGCAAGAGATTCCAAATGCAAATAGCATACTTGAAATGAACTCTGGACCTTTTATCTGCTCCTTGTAAATTGGATAATGAGGGAATAACACACACCTGGCCATGGAACAGCTGAGCAGCCAATTGTCCCATTACTTTTGGTCCCTTGAAAAGTGGAAGGCACATATACAAACTGTTGTAATTCCTACACCGTTCACCTGATTTGGATGTAAATAGCCTCATATTAAAGCTGAAAGTCTGCGGTTAAGGCACATCTTGTTCATTTCATTTCAAATCCATTGTGTTGGTGTATAGAGCCAAAAAGATTAGAATTGTGTCGATGTCCCAATATTTATGGACCTGACTGTATACTATACAATCCACTTTGTAAATAGGATCTGTACTGGTATCTTACAAACAGATTTGGGACCACTTACCCTATTTTAATATTGCTTGTCACACTTGCTATATTTTATGCATTAACATATTAAAAGTTAAATTTTATTAATAGACATATTAAGACTCAATTTAGATATATTTTTTCCTAACCTCTGGTGACACCTACTGGTAGTTTTTTGTTACTACAATTTTTTATTTTTGTTTTATTTCCAATTTTTTTGCTGTTTGTGTTTTCAAAGTTTGTTTGTTTTTTTCATTTGTTTTAGAGGAACGGCCCTTCTAGGTTTTTGCAATCATCTTCAACTACTTCTGAACAGAGCACAAAGGCATACCATACCATGAATAAATTCCTTAGCTCCTTTATTGATCATGTAAGTACCAAATGATTTATGCCTGAATATAACGCAAACAAAGAAACCGCTTGATGCCGTAGCAACAGTATTGTTTGTTGATGACAATGATCTAAAAAACATTTTATACAGATTAGAGTGCCAGAGGATTGGACTTCAGAATGAGTAGAAAAGATTATACACAAATATTGATCATAAATGATATATTGTCATAAATTAAGAGGTCTTGTAACTATCAGTGAAGCTACTCTATTTCAATTTATCTGCTATGTTATTTTAACAGTGATGTCAATTTGTGTGTGTGTGTGTATGTCTTGGTTTATTAAGGTTATGCAGGTGCATATTAGTCTATGCCTTTATAAAATATAGTAATATATCTGCAGTATGTATCTTGCCAACACAGAGAGGTGGTATTTTAGACACGATTGGATGTCTGTTGTTCCTCACTTGATGCTTGTCGTATTAAATACATAATATATGTAGATGCTGACCCTCAATCTAGTTACATATTTTTTCATCCAAATGTAGTACAAGTGGAAGTGCAGTTAGCGACTCGTAAAGTACTCAATATGGCATATGGTCTTTGCAGTAAAAGGTTCTCTACAAGTCCCAGTATAACTAAATTGCATCTGAATGTACATGTATAAATGACCAAGGATGTAATTGTCCTACAACTCACATACAATTTTATCTGAAAAAGGACAAGTACATTTTATTAATCTTTTTTTTTTTTACTAGTCCACAAGTTTGTCCAATACAATTTAAGCACTCTATTAACATTTTGTTTATAAAATGCAGGCGTTTAAGGATATGGATTACTTTGTAAAAGATAAATTATTTCTGGAACGAATGCTCAGCATGGAATTTATGGAACCTATGGATAAAAGCATCTTCTATAATGGTACAGTATGGATCTTTCTACTTAATTTTGCTATGAGCATGTATGCTCAAATCTCATTTAATTAAAGAATGAGCTAAGACATTCTGCTTGAGAATTATATGTGTCACTCACATTACTGAATGCATTTAGTTACTGTCTCATTAGCAAATGATTGCATGTGCATTAATTACATAATGCAAATGGGAATCAGCACGTTCCATAGATCTCATATTATAGCTTTTACCATTCCTCTTGCAACAAAGCACTTGGGATTTGCAACTCTGAGATTAATCTGTATAAATGTAAACTCCTTTGCAGTTCTGTTTCTTACATTGAAGGTCATTCTACATCCTCATATGCTACAAAGATGTATGTTCCCAGCTGCACTCCAGCAGTGAAGAGCAGTTGTTTGTTTTATAAGCAGTGTGCTGATGCTTGTATGTATCATATATAATCTTTGGCACCCTATTAATATACTCTTGTTCAGCAAAGGCTTTATTTTACATATTTTTTTAAATAATATTATGCCCCTATCATTTTAACCCTGCAACTGAAAATATTGTTATTTTACAGAAAGGGCAATGTTTACATTGCAGGGTTAACATGCCTCTAGTAGCTGTCAAGTGCTTTCACCCCAAAAGCCAGGTTAAATCGTCTATTCAAACAGATGGTCTCGTAGAGGCCATTTATTGGCCGTGCATGCGCACTAGCCTCCTAATGTTTTCCTACTGCTATAGTGTTCCTTTAACCCCTTACGACCAAACTTCTGGAATAAAAGGGAATCATGACATGTCACACATGTCATGTGTCCTTAAGGGGTTAATAAGCTTTCCAGATGATTCAATGCGGTGAGCAAAACTTTCAAAATGATTTATTTATTTATGGTAATTTTTCTAGATAAATCATTTGGAACATTTTTCTAACAGTATTAAATTACTTGGAAAGTTTATTAAATTAATGTCTAAATAGCAAGCTGCTCAGATAAAGCAGAAAATATACTTCCACTTGTCCACATAAACTTGATGGCAATAAAAGACTGTGATCTCTGGTAGCGGGTTAGTCCAGTGCTTATAGCCTTTTATTGCCTTTTATGGTTGGACCCAAAGACTTATTGCATCATTACAGCCTTAGTGCTTATTTTAAACCATCACCTTTATTTAGTCACAATAACATTCAGATTATGGAACGGCCATGCTGCATACAGGCCATGTTTAAAGCTTTTTGCAGCAATAGCTGCGTATGCATAAGAAAATATCAACACTTTTTTCCCTACCACAACTCTATTGGTATGTACTTTACAAGTAACGCCAAGCCTCCATAGCAAGACGGTAATCAATCTCATGCTGATGAGTTGCATTAACAACAAAATGGCTGTCCATAAGTGGTTCACTGGCTTTGCTCCTCTTCCCGAGTTGTGTTTCAAAGCTGTTGTGTACAAGTGGAATTATGAGGCAAAAATGTGGTTCTTTGTTGAACTAATTTGCATATGCCTACCCAGAATCCCGTGCAGTAGTGAGAGCACTGTTAAAGTGAGATTTCTGTGGGAAAAGGAATAAACCACTGGTAACTATAACAATACAAAGATGTGGGCAGCTACATACAGAAACAAGTGACTTGCAGAGAAGAAACTCAAAATATAAAGTATATAGTATGTGCGCTCCTAAATTATATACAAAACTAAAACAACTGTTTCTATAGAAAAACGGACATATCTTTAATAGAAAATAAAACCAACAGATAAAATAACGAGATTCTGCTAAACTCCTTACTCCTCTCTAAAGCACTCAGTCTCTGTATAGAGGCACTTCTCATATACAAGTGAATCCTAATAGTTCTAAATAGGTAGATGTTGAATACCCCAATCACAGCATACTGTGGCAACAGATTGTGCTAAATAATCAAAATACAAGGCTTGATTTATGGGACAAACAGATACATTTTGATATTTAGATATACCAAAATACAAGTAGTACAGTCTCAATAGATGTCACCTTAAATAGAAAAATCTGTTAAAGATATATCTCCTCCAAAAAGACCGGAGAGATATATACTCTAGAGACTAAAGAACGAGAGATAACTCTAAAGACCACAATCCCATAGGATGTCAAAACTATTAACGAAAAAAAACAATAAATAAATAAAAATGAATAGTTAGGTCACCAAAACACTTCAAGCCGGGAATGTTGCAACAGTATTATTAAATGAAGACTCGTGTAGCAACCCAGCGTGAAGAGTTAAAAAGTGTCAATATGTAACAAATATGAAACACCTAAATGTAATAACAATAAGCCAAGTGATGGAAACTAAGAAACTAGTTTCAATGAGGGCTGCTAGTCATTGCTGAGCGCTCAGTAGTGATGTAACACTTGTAAATGGACAGACATACTTTATATTTAGAGTTTCTGTGGGAAAAGCAAGCCTTATGGCTTAACTGATGTGTGTATTTGTGTTTAGCAATGTTTTAACTATCCACTTACTTCAGATGGAAGGGGTTTTCATCCACACTTTTCTCCCCACCACAACTCTTTTGGTATGTATGAAAAATACCAAAATAGATCCCAATGCCAAGAAAAGTGTATCCTTTCAAAAATAGGTTTAGTTACTAGTGTATAAAACGGTGCGAAAATATAGAAAATATATAATAAAAATATATATAAATATATATTTATTTTCCTTCTTACAGATCTGAAACATTCTTTCAGCAATGTTCTGTTCTATGGGAATGAGTCAACTCTTCTTGTCTTTGACATGCTGTTTTTCTGTGTAGTTGATATTGCATCACAAAATTTTGTTTTGGCAGCAATACTCACATATCTTCAAAGTGAGGTAAGTTTTTTTTTTTTTGTTAGGGGGTGGGGTTGGGTGAAGGGTTGACTGTCGTATTACAACCTTTATCTTTTTTAAGTAAAATTAAGAAATAATTAGCATAACGTTGACATACCATTAAATGCAATAAAACATAACCCTCCCCTATAATGTAGTTTGCCTGTACAGCAAAACTATTACTCAAACCAATTTTCAAATTATAGCAATCAACCTTTCTTTGTGTGGTTTTTATGTATATTTTTTTTAAATGTGCTGTTTCCTTGGACTGTTTATGTTCAGTGTATAAGCAGTACCAAAGGTTTTGATATGTAACTAATTTAGGCAGTGTTGGATATTCTGTGAAATATATATATATATATATATATATACAGTATCTCAAAAAAATTAGTACACCCCTCACATTTTTGTAAATATTTTATTATATCTTTTCATGTGACAACACTGAAGAAATGACAATGTGCTACAATGTTAAGTAGTAAGTTTACAGCCTGTATAACAGTGTAAATTTGCTGCCCCCTCAAAATAACTCAATACACATCCATTAATGCCTAAACCGTTGGCAACAAAAGTGAGTACACCCGGAAGTGGAAATGTCCAAATTGGGCCCAATTAGCAGTTTTCCCTCCCCCGGTGTCATGTGACTCGTTAGTGTTACAAGGTCTCAGATATGAATGGAGAGCAGGTGTGTTAAATCTGGTGTTATCGCTCTCACACTTTCTCATACTGGTCACTGGAAGTTCAACATGGCCCCTACTCACAAAGAACTCTCTGAGGATCTGAAAAAAAGGATTGTTGCGCTACATAAAGATGGGCTAGACCATACAGCAGTTTCACAGGACATGTTCCACTTAGAACAGGCCTCGCCATGGTTGACCAAAGAAGTTGAGTGCACGTGCTCCGCGTCATTTCCAGAGATTGTCTTTGAGAAATAGAAGTATGAGTGCTGACTGCATTGCTGCAGAGGTTGAAGGGGTGGGGGGTCAGCCTGTCAGTGCTCAGACCAAACACTGCACACTGCATCAAATTGGTCTGCATGGCTGTTGTCCCAGAAGGAAGCCTCTTCTAAAGATGATGCACAGGGAGCCCGCAAACAGTTTGCTGAAGACAAGCAGACTAAGGACATGAACTACTGCAACCATGTCCTGTTCTCCGAAAAGACCGAGACAAACTTATTTGGTTCAGATAGTGTCAAGCGTGTGTGGCGGCAACCAGGTGAAGAATATTTCCTTTCAAGACTTGATGAAAATATATTTTAAAATGGTGTTGAGGTGACAGTTTTCATTTGAAGCGCACTCGCCATCTGATAATGACATCACCACTGGGGGTCCGGTGGCCATAGAGTGCAGAAAAAAGGGAGATTTACTTACCTGAATGTAACGGATCGCCTGGCACCCCGACTGGGTACCTCCGTTGAAAGATGGTCCTAGCGCTTCCTGAGGACTCCAAGCACTGCAGCAGACGCCACAATCACCGAACCAGAGAAGCGTGTACCTTCTCTCAAGCATATGAATGCTGTAGACAGTTGAATAGGAACCATACGAATAGGTTTACTCTCCTAGCAGTCAAACTGGAACAGCATACAATAAATCCTTCCCCCAATAATGAGACGACACTTCACTTTGAGGGTTAAAACAGGAACTCCCTGTACTGTCACATACAGTCTCTTTTATTCCCAATCCACAAACATAGTACAGCCCACAGGGCGTTACAAAACAACCAATCACATCACAGTTACATCCCACATATTCCCTCCCCTTATCCTGAGAGGAAACTCAATTATACATACAGTTAAAACATACTTTCTACCCAACTTTCATAACTCCAAAACCATACATCACATTCACATAAAATTACATATTCACAATCAATCCATTCAGGGGAACAACATATTCAAAAATGGCACAAATCAGACAAGGGGTTCAAAAGTTAGTAAAAAGTCCTTTGTGACTAAATGAAGCATGGCTTTCTGGCCCAAACCAGTTTCAGAGTCTTCTATCCTGGAGAGTAATTCAATTATCTCCCAGGACAGACACAAGACTCCATTAAGCACATGGTTGCAAAAAGACACAAAACACTTTAAAATACATAAAGTCACATTTACACATAACACACAGACATTTCACATATCCCCAGATAGCTGGGATCTGAGTGCACATTATTAGATGAATGGCACTCAGATCACACAAATAAGCCTTTCTGCAGGGGAAATAAACAGTTTAACCTGCAGGGCCATAGTCCAAAGGGAGCAGGCGAGCAACCAGGCTTCTCCAGTTCACAGTGGCGAGGTTGGTTTCGCCACACTTCTCCCCTTTACCAACTAGACTAACAGGGTATCTGACCTCCTGCCGGTCAGTGCCCTGGTTAGTCCAGCAACCCACCCACAAAACAGAAACAGCAGTACAGCCCACCCACAATAACTGGTTACTACACCTGGGTAGAGGAAAACTTTGTCCATGTCCAGGTGCCTCACCACGACTGTGTGGGCAACTGTTAGGCTGCCTTGGTGGGTTGCTGAGTGGGCAGAGACCAGCGGTACTCTGCCCTGATGCCAGTGCTACCACGGAAGTAGCCTGGTGGGAGCCTGGTTGTGGGAGGGAGAGACCGACTGTCTCCCCTCTGGATACACCGCTCTGTGGCTGGGGAACAGGACCGACTGTCCCTACCCCTTGTGCTGTAAGTGCAGAGACTACAGTCCCATCTGCACTGTTGGGGGGTGTAACATCTCCCCTTGCTGGGTTAGGCTGCCGCTGGAGAGAGGGTGTAACAAGCTCCTCTCTCTGAACTGTAAACTGCCGCTGGGGAGAGGGGGTATCAGGCTCCTCTCCCTGACACTCTCTCTGCTGGTGGAGAGGGGGACCAGCTGTCTCCCCTTTCATTATTTTGTCCTGTGGTTGGGGTGCGAGACTGACGGTCTCTGCTCCCTGCAGGACACTCTGCCGCTGGGGAGGAAGGACGGCACCTTCAGCTCCCTGGGGTACACACTGCCGCTGGGGAGGAAGGACTGCACCTTCAGCTCCCTGGGGTACACACTGCCGCTGGGGAGGAAGGACTGCACCTTCAGCTCCCTGGGGTGCACACTGCCGCTGGGGAGGAAGGACTGCACCTTCAGCTCCCTGGGGTACATACTGCCGCTGGAGATCTGGGCCGACCGCCCAGCATCCCTGTAGGGCCGGTTGAGAGACCGCCGTCCCATCTCCACCTGCCATCTGTGGGTCTGCCCAGGACCAGTCTGTGAGGTCCCTCAACATTTGCGAGTAAGGACCACCTGCTTCCGCACCTGGCAACTCCGGCTGCTGCTGGGGATCTGGGCCGGTCCCATCTCCACATGCCTGTTGTGGTTCCTCACAGGACCAGTCTATGAGGACCCCTACTTCGGGTTCCTGCGGCCGCCTCAGGGGGAGACGGCTAGCCTCCTCGGATGCAGCCTCTACTCGGCTGCTGTAACACTCCTTCCGCTGAGCATACTCTCTCTCTTTCGCCCGCCGGAATTCTCGGGCCAGCCTTGTGTTTCGCTCGGCCGTGACCTGGTTCCAGATCACCCGGCGTACCTCCATGGCTAAATCATCCCCATACTCGGCCACTCGCTGCCTCACCTCGGCCATCCAATCATCGCCAGAGCCTTCCATACTTGTCTGCTCCAAGTCGCTGGATACCTCTGCTCCCAGGGTCGCTGCACGTGTGCTAGCGTTGCCCTCAATTTGTAAATCCAAACAAACTGTGTCTCTGAGCTGCTTTACCTCGCACTAGGACGCCATCCCACCGCTGCCACCAATGTAACGGATCACCTGGCACCTCGACTGGGTACCTCCGTTGAAGGATGCTCCTAGCGCTTCCTGAGGACTCCAAGCACTGCAGCAGACACCACAACCACCGAACCGGAGAAGCATATGAATCCTCTTAAGCATATGAATGCTGTAGACAGTTGAATAGGAACCATACGAATAGGTTTACTCTCCTAGCAGTCAAACTGGAACAGCATACAATAAATCCTTTCCCCAATAATGAGACGACACTTCACTTTGAGGGTTAAAACAGGAACTCCCTGTACTGTCACATACAGTCTCTTTTATACCCAATCCACAAACATAGTACAGCCCACAGGGCGTTACAAAACAACCAATCACATCACAGTTACATCCCACATATTCCCTCCCCTTATACTGAGAGGAAACTCAATTATACATACAGTTAAAACATACTTTCTACCCAACTTTCATAACTCCAAAACCATACATCACATTCACATAAAATTACATATTCACAATCAATCCATTCAGGGAAACAACTTTTTAAAAAATGGCACGAATCAGACCAGGGGTTCAAAAGTTAAGGGAAAGTCCTTGGTGACTAAATGAAGCATGGCTTTCTGGCCCAAACTAGTTTCAGAGTCTTCTATCCTGGAGAGTAATTCAATTATCTCCCAGGATAGACACAAGACTCCATTAAGCACATGGTTGCAAAAAGACACAAAACATTTTAAAATACATAAAGTCACATTTACACATAACACACAGACATTTCACATATCCCCAGATAGCTGGGATCTGAGTGCACATTATTAGATGAATGGCACTCAGATCACACAAATAAGCCTTTCTGCAGGGGAAATAAACAGTTTAACCTGCACGGCCATAGTCCAAAGGGAGCAGGCGAGCAACCAGGCTTCTCCAGTTCACAGTGGCGAGGTTGGTTTCGCCACACTGAACCTGTCCGACAAGGGCGCTGCCATCCTCTTCCATCCGCTTTTCTTCAGCCCGTGGCACTTCAGCTGCCAGGAGCCGACTTCAGCTCTGTACTCTCGATTCAGTGAAATTCCAGCACAGTCAGTCTGAGTATTTCATAAGGATTCAATGTTTATGAAATACTCATTTTTGATGAGTCATTTCCAGAGATTGTCTTTGGGAAATAGAAGTATAAGTGCTGTCTGCATTGCTGCAGAGGTTGAAGGGGTGGGGGGTCAGCCTGTCAGTGCTCAGACGATACGCCGCACACTGCATCAAATTGGTCTGCATGGCTGTTGTCCCAGAAGGAAGCCTCTTTTAAAGATGATGCACAGGGAGCCCGCAAACAGTTTGCTGAAGACAAGCAGACTAAGGACATGAACTACTGGAACCATGTCCTATGCTCCGAAAAGACCGAGATAAACTTATTTGGTTCAGATGGTGTCAAGCGTTTGTGGCGGCAACCAGGTGAGGAGTATTTCCTTTCAAGACTTGATGAAAATATATTTTAAAATGGTGTTGAGGTGACAGTTTTAATTTGAAGCACACTCGCCATCCGATAATGACATCACCACTGGGGGTCCGGTGGCTATAGAGTGCAGAGAAAAGGGAGATTTACTTACCTGAACCTTTCCGACAAGGGCGTTGCCATCCTCTTCCATCCGCTTTTCTTCAGCCCCTGGCACTTCAGCTGCCAGGAGCCGACATCAGCTCTGTACTCTCGATTCAGTGAAATTCCAGCACAGTCAATCTGAGTATTTCATAAGGATTCAATGTTTATGAAATACTCATTTTTGATGAGTCATATCCAGAGATTGTCTTTGGGAAATAGAAGTATGAGTGCTGCCTGCATTGCTGCAGAGGTTGAAGGGGTGGGGGGTCAGCCTGTCAGTGCTCAGACCATACGCCGCACACTGCATCAAATTGGTCTGCATGGCTGTTGTCCCAGAAGGAAGCCTCTTCTAAAGATGATGCACAGGAAGCCCACAAACAGTTTGCTGAAGACAAGCAGACTAAGGACATGAACTACTGGAAGCATGTCCTGTGCGCCGAAAAGACCAAGATAAACTTATTTGGTTCAGATGGTGTCAAGCGTGTGTGGCGGCAACCAGGTGAGGAGTACAAAGACAAGTGTATTTTGCCTACAATCAAGCGTGGTGGTGGGAGTGTCATGGTCTGGGCCTGCATGAGTGCTGCCGGCACTGAGGTACTACAGTTCATTGAGGGAACCATGAATGCCAGCATGTACTGTGACATACTGAAGCAGAGCATGATCCCCTCCCTTCGGAGACTGGGCTACAGGGCAGTATTCCAACATGGTAACAAGCCCAAACACACCTCCAAGACAACCAATGCCTTGCTAAAGAAGCTGAAGGTAAAGGTGATGGACTCGCCAAGCATGTCTCCATACCTAAACCCTATTGAGCATCCTCAAACGGAAGGTGGGTGAGCGCAAGGTCTCTAACATCCACTAACTCCGTGATGTCGTCATGAAGGAGTGGAAGAGGACTCCAGTAGCAACCTGTGAAGCTCTGGTAAACACCATGGGTTTAGGCAGTGCTGGAAAATAATGATGGTCACACAAAATATTGACACTTTGGGCCCAATTTGGACATTTCTACTTAGGGGTGTACTCACTTTTGTTGCCAACGGTTTAGACATTAATGGCTGTGTGTTGGGTTATTTTGAGGGGACAGCAAATTTACACTGTTATACAGGCTGTACACTTACTATTTTACATTGTAGCAGAGTGTCATTTCTTCAGTGTTGTCACATGAAAAGATAATAAAATATTTACAAAAATGTGAGGGGTGTACTCACTTTTGTGAGATACTGTGTATGTGTATATATAAATATGTATGTATGTATTTATATTCTACAAAACGTCAATGACTTTAATGAAAAATATAAGAATAACAGCAGAAAATCCTACCAACAAAAGTATTACATGCATTATAAATGTGTGAATTTGTATATGTGTGTGCATATAAATGTATATATTGTATGTCTTCTTTTTGCATTTTCTTATAAAAAATAAAATCATAATCATAATTTTCTCTTTCTTTTAAGTGTTTCCGGCTCATCCGTGCCACGGCAGGACAGAAGAATTTGGCATCAAAAACTCTAATAGACAAACGGTTCCTGATTTAGAAAGACAGATGTTGTATACCAGCCCCAGCCATTGGACCAGTGTTCAGAACATTTTGTAAATGTTCTTTGTGTATTTAATATGAGAATATTTTTGTTAATTATATGGAAATGTATTTTTGGAAGCAAAATACATTTTGATTGTTCAATCTTTCATTTCTTGAAGATGAAGTGCGGATATTGTCACATAGATTTTGTTTATTTTTGACTTGAAGTAGAATTTACAATGTTTCTCTACAATTTCAAGGGACTGACTTTTGCATAACATGGCAACGTTCTGTTGTTAATCTTCTATAATTCTCTACAATCTGCTATAAAAAAAAACTCATCCCTACCTTTATTATAGAACAGGTCAGCCATTTACATACACCTTGGGTCAGACAGTGTTTGAAAACCTCTATATAGTCTCTATGGTATTCGCTGCTCCACTCCCTGCACAGCACAGCGACATTATCAGACTGACTAACTGTTACATTCTAACACTATCTGACCCAAGGTGTATGTATATGGCTGAAGGATCCTGTCATGTAATAAAAACAGGGATTTGTTTTTCTTTTTTTAAACATACTTAATTTAACACAGAATCTATTTCCTTTCAAGACTTGATGAAAAGATATTTTAAAATGGTGTTGATGTGAAAGTTTTCTTTTGAAGCGCACTCGCCATCCGATAATGACATCACCACTGGGGGTCCGGTGGCCATAGAGTGTAGAGAAAAGGGAGATTTACTTACCTGAACCTTTCCGACAAGGGCGTTGCCATCCTCTTCCATCCGCTTTTCTTCAGCCCCTGGCACTTCAGCTGCCAGGAGCCGACTTCAGCTCTGTACTCTCGATTCAGTGAAATTCCAGCACAGTCAATCTGAGTATTTCATAAGGATTCAATGTTTATGAAATACTCATTTTTGATATTGGGGTGGCATAGCCACTTTAGCATGCGACTGGCAGCTCACACTGTATTTTGTTTACTCGTTCATACATTTTTTGTCTTGAATTAGGAGCTGTAAATGGCTGTTTGCCATGGATGTGAATGAGAGAGTACTTTGAGATACATTCTTCTGTACATTCCTTGCTATCTGTCTTATCATTTCTTTTCAGAAGTTAAACACAAAGTGGGTAGACCTGGGTCGAAAGGGGATTTTGCATTTTTTTAATGGTTGGCATTGTGCAAAAAAAAAAAATCAGGGTGATTCTTTTGTTCTGTAATAACTGTTTATCTTTAATGTCAGATTTCCATATTTAATGCTTACTTTAACCAAGACATGATTTTCCTGGCAGTCACAATTCATATATTCAACATATAGAGCTTTGTGACAACCTTACAATACCTGCACTATAATTGCTGCGATATTCAGTCAACCATTATAAAAACAGCTCTGTAACAGGAGGCATATCTCCAATATGAAATTCCACTTAAAACAGTACCAGTTTATATGATTTCTTTAAAATAGGAAGTTAAGCTGTTTAATACCATTTTTATATTCATACTTGTAGGGGGTGAAAATGTCCCAAATATTATTATTTTATTATTTATATAGCTCCATCAGATTCCGTAGCGCTGTACAATTCATATTGTTATTCATATTGTTGAGGATTTTGTTTACAAGCAAATATTATATAAAATATTTTCTTAAATGTTGAATTAAACCACATTAGTGATGTTACTGTTCTATTTATGTTTTAGTATTTTTACTATAGAATTATATGTTTTTTATAAACTTGAATACATTGTGATTTTTTTTTCAATCTTTATTTTTGCAGTGCAAGGAGTAACAATCATGCAGACAATAACATATCAATGAAGTTGTACAAATTAGGAGAATTCGACAAAGTGTTACTTGACATGTAGAGAAAATGCACTATTTTTAGATCAGAGAAACACGAATATTCAGGCAGTTGTGTCAACGGCATTCCAAATAGTTAAACAATGGAGCAGTGGACCACACTGCTTGAGATTTGTACGGCAGAACTAATTAAAAGCATAATGCCGCGAGGTTGGGTGAGCAGAATATACGAACAAGGTCATGACTTTTTTTTTATTACAGATTTATTTAACAACGTATTGCAACTATTTACACACACTATTAATACACTGACACACAGATACACACTGACACATGCATACACACATACACATCAACACTGGCAAATGCACACCATGACACACAGATATACATACTGGCACATACACACAGATTCAGATACACATGCTGGCACTTACACACTCAGTTACAAACAGATACAGATAGATTGGCACACAGATACACACACACACTGATACATGCACACGCTGGCACACAGATACACCTACTGGCACATACACACACTCAGATACACAAACTGACACACAAAAACACAAACTTACCCACAGATAACCACACTGATTCACAGTTACACACACTGACACACACACTCGGATATACACACTGGCACATACACTCAGATACACACACAATGGCAAATACACTCAGATACACACACTGGCACATGCACAGACAGATACATACACTGGCACACACAGAAACCATTGCCAGAAACCAAAATGTAGCAATTCCATAATCAATTCTTGACCATTACAGTTTAGAAAAAAAACCTGAATGAGAGGTTTTAGATATATGATTTAGCAAAAAAAATATTTCTGTGGAATAAATCAAGGTTTTACATTTTGTTATATACTAGGGGATTGATTTGCTAAACACCACATTAAAGTGAACGAAAAACCAAACTGCATTTTAAAAATAGCCACGTTGTTACTATAGTGGAGTTGGAGAGTTATTCTAAATCTGTTGTTTTGGCCTTCATATTGCAAGTTGGATTTCAGTTCAAAATTATTTGGTGTTTAGTGGATAAACCCCGACACTCATGTAATGCATGCACAGTAAATACTTTTAGTAACAAACTGTAATGTAATCTGGGGTAGACACCAAACAACAATTCAAACCTTTACCAAATATATCCTATGGTGCCCGGCTCCCCCCGCCCAGTGTAAGTAGTCAAACCATTTAGTAACAGATTGACTTCTTGCCTGATGTGTGCCAAGTGTCACTCTCTACCGGAAGCTATTTCACTCATTGGATGATCCTTTTAGCCAATGAGCTGTCCTTGCATTGCATGGCTTAGCTCAGGAGAGGTAATGGAGCCAGAGTCAGATTAAGGTGGCCCTAGGTGGCTATCTAGGGCCATGTTTGGTCATGGCACGTTAGCTCTGTCTGTGAGGTTGCCCAAGATAAGCATCTTTCTGCTCGGCATTCCCCCCCCCTCACTACATCATGGCAGTGGTGTGGTCGGCATTTCTATTGAGTGCAGATCACTTTAACAACTACCCCGTGGTCTTGGTGCTCTTTGAATGCGCTCCACCTGACTAGAGATACACCCTCCTGCCAAAAGGCAAGTTGGATCGGGGCAAGTGAACACATACAATGACATACACAATGACAGTGCAGACTCCCACACACACAACACTCAGCCTTCTCTCCATAAACAAATTCAGCCACCACACACCTTATTCATACTACAACACACACAGCTGCCCCCATTTACACAACAGAGCAAGGAGCCACAAATTGACAACCTGTATAAGGCCCTGGGCATTCTTAATCTTGTTCTAATGTAAGCTCTGTGTAGGAGCTTCCAGCTCTCACTATCAGTGAATGGAAGGAAGCGGCACCTGGTGGACTGTAAGCAGAAATTGAAACCTTTCTTTGTTTGACTAATTACATTGGGTGATGCCAGTGTCCCCCTGGTACCATGATGAGTACTGCACCCTGTAGTGATTAGGGTTCTTGGAGAGTTATTTTTTTATACATGCACTGTCAGTGTACAGGATGTTGTACATTATGTAATTCAGAATATAAGAAATAATGCTATGTTGTTTAACAAACAGAAGGGTGACCTCTGGGTTTGTGCACTCCAGTTCTGTCTGATCAGAGCTAGCTGCCCACCAGACTGGCAGATATAGATGGTGTGTTATTGTCATACTGTGGTCTTCACATTTCTTAAATGAATGTGTTTTTGTTTCTGAGTGAGCAAGCTTGTGAATGCTTGCGCAGTAAAAACAGAATCAGATGATATTCTTATTAAATTATTTACTAAAGTGAGAATTCAAAGTGAATTTCAAATTTAAGGTAAACTAGGCGAATAGAAAGCATGGCTGACTTAGATAATGCTACCGGTTTGGCTATTTTGACCTTTAAAGGGATACTATAAGCACCTTAACAACTTTAGCCTAATGAAGCAGTCTTGGTGGATAGATCATGCCTCTGCACTCTCACTGCTCAATTATCTGCCATTTAGGAGTTAAATCACTTTTGTTTCTATTAATGCAGCCCTAGTCACACCTCTCCTGGCTGTGACTCACACACAAAGGGACAGATTAAAGGGACATGCATCACTTGACAATTATTTTTTTAAACCAGTAAGCAAACATTTTTAAACAAATATACAAACCAAAATAACACAAGAAGACCGTTGAAAAGTATGTAATAAATGGTTATAAACCTACTATAAACTTGGTCAGATTGCATCATAGGACATGCCTCTCAGTTAGGGCAGCTTCTTCAACCACCCTTTTGCCCCACCTCCCTTCTCAGTTTCAGACCAGTCCACTAATTACAAAAACTGGGCACCGTTAAGCAACAGCAAGAATTTTGTGTGTGTATTTGTGTCTGTATATCGGAATTAGTGTATGTGATGCTGTCTGTGTATTTGTGAATTTGCGTGTGTATATATCAGAATTTGTGTATGTGATGCTGTGTGTATGTCACGGGTGGCGGTATGGAGACTGGGACCCCTGAGTGCCTGAAGATGATGTGAGTCTCAGCGTGGAAATGGACATTCAGGGCCTGGAGCAGGGTAACCACACGCCCCTAGTGTTGAGCGGCCACATACCAGGGCCTTGAAGCAGCTAAAGCGGAAGCCAGGAGCAGATGAAAATATGCAGACCTCCCTGGGTATGGATAGGGAGGCTCTGCAGCAGAAATGTATCCAGTACAGAAACAAGGCAAGACTAGAACAGTCACCTAACAAGAAAACAAGATAAGACTAGAAGAACCCAGAACCGGAGCAGGACAGAAAGCAGAACCCAGAACATGTACACAAGATATGAGGGAAACATGAACAGGACAGGACTGTACATGAGCTGGGAAGACAAAATAAAACGAGATACGAGGCAAAACAAGAGGAGACATAACCAAGTACTATATATGTCACAAACATTGGAGATTTAGACATACATAAATGGCCAAGATGTATGCAGCCCACCACTGCGCCAAAGTACTCCAATTACGGTGGGTCCTAACTGCCTAGATATGCATGACCAAATAAACAACAATAAAACACACAGCGCTTACCTGCTAAGAAAGGAGCAGAGGAAAATGAGACCCCTGCTTGCAGGACCAGACTGAAACAAAAAAAAAATTAAATGGCAAAGGAACGCTATGGCAAAAACCCCAAACATTTAAAGGAATCCAGGAGACGGGGAATTCCAGGAAAGGAATAAAAGGAATGAACCCAGACATAGAATAGAGACCCAGAAAAAAACAAGAAAAACTATTGTAAAAACATAGAAACATAGAATGTGACGGCAGATAAGAACCATTCGGCCCATCTAGTCTGCCCAATTTTCTAAATACTTTCATTAGTCCCTGGCCTTATCTTATAGTTAGGATAGCCTTATGCCTATCCCACGCATGCTTAAACTCCTTTACTATGTTAACCTCTACCACTTCAGCTGGAAGGCTATTCCATGCATCCACTACCCTCTCAGTAAAGTAATACTTCCTGATATTATTTTGAAACCTTTGTCCCTCTAATTTAAGACTATGTCCTCTTGTTGTGGTAGTTTTTCTTCTTTTAAATATAGTCTCCTCCTTTACTGTGTTGATTCCTTTATATATTTAAATGTTTCTATCATATCCCCCCTGTCTCGTCTTTCCTCCAAGCTATACATGTTAAGATCCTTTAACCTTTCCTGGTAAGTTTTTATCCGCAATCCATGAACCAGTTTAGTAGCCCTTCTCTGAACCCTCTCTAAGGTATCAATATCCTTCTGAAGATACGGTCTCCAGTACTGTGTACAATACTCCAAGTGAGGTCTCACCAGTGTTCTGTACAATGGCATGAGCACTTCCCTCTTTCTACTGCTAATACCTCTCCCTATACAACCAAGCATTCTGCTAGCATTTCCTGCTGCTCTATTACATTGTCTGTCTACCTTTAAGTCATCAGAAATAATCACCCCTAAATCCCTTTCCTCATATGTTGAGGTTAGGACTCTATCAAATATTCTGTACTCTGCCCTTGGGTTTTTACGTCCAAGATGCATTATCTTGCACTTATCCACATTAAATGTCAGTTGCCACAATTCTGACCATTTTTCTAGTTTACCTAAATCATTTGCCATTGGCTTATCCCTCCTGGAACATCAACCCTGTTACATATCTTAGTATCATCAGCAAAAAGACATACCTTACCATCAAGACCTTCTGCAATATCACTAATAAAAATATTAAAGAGAATGGGTCCAAGTACAGATCCCTGAGGTACCCCACTGGTGACAAGTCCAAGCTTCGAATATATTCCATTAACTACAACCCTCTGTTGCCTGTCACTCAGCCACTGCCTTACCCATTCAACAATATTGGAATCCAAACTTAAAGAT